GACTGCTATTCAATCTATAACAGTGAAAAAAGGGTTTTTTGTTTTTAAATACAAGCTTTGTGTCACCAGATCTAAGTGTGGCAATGGTCACCGTATCCACTGTTAGCGTAACACACCCGCTTTAAGGACACTGACTGCTATTCAATCTATAACAGTGAAAAGTGTTTTTTTTTTTTAAATCCAAGCTTTGTGTCACCAGATCTAAGTGGTGGCAATGGTCACCGTATCCACTGTTAGCGTAACACACCCGCTTTAAGGACACTGACTGCTATTCAATCTATAACAGTGAAAAAAGTTTTTGTTTTAACCAAGTTTGTGTCACCAGATCTAAGTGGTGGCACTGGTCACCGTGATCCACTGTTAGCTTAACACACCCGCTTTAAGGACACTGACTGCTATTCACCTTATAACAAAGTGAAAAAAGTTTTTGTTTTAAATCCAAGCTTTGTGTCACCAGATCTAAGTGGTGGCACTGGTCACCGTGAGATCCACTGTTAGCTTAACACACCCGCTTTAAGGACACTGACTGCTATTCAATCTATAACAGTGAAAAAAGTTTTTTTTTTTAAATCCAAGCTATTGTGACACCAGATGTATTTGGTGGCACTGACTGGGGAAATGGGCACAGTATGCACTGTGAGCCTGACACAGAAGCTGGCAGCAGTGGCAGACAACTGACCGCTATTCAATCTATAACAGTAAAAAAAGTTTTTTGTTTTTAAATCAAGCTATTGTGACACCAGATGTAATTGGTGGCACTGACTGGGGAAATGGGCACAGTATGCACTGTGAGCCTGACACACAAGCTGGCAGCAGTGGAAGACAACTGACTGCTATTCAATCTATAACAGTGAAAAAAGTTTTTTGTTTTTAAATCCAAGCTATTGTGACACCAGATGTAAGTGGTGGCACTGGCTCGTATCCACTGTTAGCTTAACACACCTGCTTTGCTGACACTGACTGCTATTCAATCTATAACAGTGAAAAAGTTTTTGTTTTAACCAAGCTTTGTGTCACCAGATATAAGTGGTGGCACTGGTCAGATTCACTGTTAGTGTAACACACCCGCTTTAAGGACACTGAATGCTATTCAATCTATAACAGAGAAAAAGTGTTTTGTTTTAAATCCAAGCTTTGTGTCACCAGATCTTAAGTGGTGGCACTGGTCACCCATCCACTGTTATATCACACCTTTCGTTTTTCTGAAGATAACCAACTGCTATTCAATCTATAACAGTGAAAAAAGTGTTTTTTGTTTTTAAATACAAGCTTTGTGTCACCAGATCTAAGTGGTGGCACTGGTCACCGTATCCACTGTTAGCGTAACACACCCGCTTTAAGGACACTGACTGCTATTCAATCTATAACAGTGAAAAGTGTTTTTTTTTTTTAAATCCAAGCTTTGTGTCACCAGATCTAAGTGGTGGCAATGGTCACCGTATCCACTGTTAGCGTAACACACCCGCTTTAAGGACACTGACTGCTATTCAATCTATAACAGTGAAAAGTGTTTTTTTAACCAAGCTATTGTGACACCAGATCTAAGTGGTGGCACTGGTCACCAGATTCACTAAGTTAAATGCACACACCCGCTTTAAGGACACTGACTGCTATTCAATCTATAACAGTGAAAAAGTTTTTTGTTTTTAAATCCAAGCTTGTGTCACCAGATATAAGTGGTGGCACTGGTCACCGTGATCTCACTGTTAGTAAAATACACCCGCTTTGCTGACACTGACTGCTATTCAATCTATAAATAGATAAAAAGTAAGTTTTGTTTTTTAAATCCAAGCTTTGTGTCACCAGATCTAAGTGGTGGCACTGGTCAGCGTATCCACTGTTAGCCTAACACACCCGCTTTAAGGACACTGACTGCTATTCAATCTATAACAGTGAAAAAAGTGTTTTTTTTTTTTAAAACCAAGCTTTGTGTCACCAGATCTAATTAGTGGCACTGGTCAGCGTATCCACTGTTAGCGTAACACACCCGCTTTAAGGACACTGACTGCTATTCAATCTATAACAGTGAAAAAAGTGTTTTGTTTTTTTAAACCCAAGCTTTGTGTCGCCAGATCTAATTGGTGGCACTGGTCAGCGTATCCACTGTTAGCGTAACACACCCGCTTTAAGGACACTGACTGCTATTCAATCTATAACAGTGAAAAAAGAGTTGTTTTTAAATCCAAGCTATTGTGACAATTCAGATGTAAAGTGGTGGCACTGACTGGGGAAATGGCACAGTATGCACTGTGAGCCTGACAGAAGCTGGCAGCAGTGGCAGACAACTGACTGCTATTCAATCTATAACAGTGAAAAAAGTTTTTTGTTTTTAAATCCAAGCTATTGTGACACCAGATGTAATTGGTGGCACTGACTGGGGAAATGGGCACTGTGAGCCTGACACAGAAGCTGGCAGCAGTGGCAGACAACTAAGTGCATTTACATTACATAGAAAAAATAAATAAAAAAAAAGCATACCCTTATCCCTAACCTAGCTATGCTTTTCCCTATCTTATGAACAGCAGCTACACTTTCCCTCCTCTTACTAAGCATGCAGCTTGAGAATGAATCTAAAATGGATGCCTTCCAGGAGGTGGGAGGGTCTGCTAGGGAGGGTGTGCTGCTAATTGGCTGGAATGTGTCTGCTGACTGTGAGGTACAGGGTCAAAGTTTACTCAATGATGACGAATAGGGGGCGGGTCGAACCGCGCATATGTTCGCCCGCCGTGGCGAACGCGAACATGCTATGTTCGCCGGGAACCGTTTGCCGGCGAACCGTTCGGTACATCACTACTTCTGCAACATCACTAATAAAAACATTAAAGAGAATGGGTCCAAGTACAGATCCCTGAGGTACCCCGCTGGTAACAAGACCATGCTTCAAATATACTCCCTCTGTTTCATGTCACTCAGCCACTGCCTTACCCAACAATACTGGAATCCAAACTTAAAGATTGCAGTTTATTGATAAGCCTTCTGTGTGCAACAGTGTCAAAAGCCTTACTTAAATCTAGGTAAGCAATGTCTACTGCACCACCCTGATCTATTATTTTAGTAACCCAATCAAAAAAATCAATAAGATTAGTTTGGCACGATCTCCCTGAAGTAAACCCATGTTGTCCCTGATCTAGAAATCCATGTGCTTTTAGATGTTTAACAATCCGATCCTTTAACATGGTTTCCATTACTTTCCCCACTACTGAAGTAAGGCTTACTGGCCTTTAGTTGCCCGACTCCTCTCTACTACCTTTCTTGTGAATGGGCACAACATTCTCTAACTTCCAATCTTCTCGGACTACTCCTGTTAACAATGATTGGTTAAATAAATCTGTTAATGGTTTTGCTAGTACACCATTAAGCTTTTTTAATAACTTTGGGTGTATTCCATCAGGTACCATTGACTTATTTGTCTTTACTTTTGACAGTTGAAATAGAACCTCTTCCTCTATAAACTCACATGTAACAAATGATTCATTTGTCCTTCTTCCTAACTGAGGCCCCTTTCCTTCATTTTCATCTGTAAATACTGAACAAAAATATTCATTGAGGCAGTCAGCTAGATCTTTATCCTCTTCTACATACCTTCCTTCTTTTGTTTTTAATCTAACTAATCCTTGTTTTACTTTCCTTTTCTCATTTATGTATCTAAAAAATGTTTTGTCCCCTTTTTTACTGACTGTGCTATTTTCTCTTCTGTGTGTGATTTATAACTTGCTTAGCCTCTTTCTGCCTAATCTTATAGATCATTCTGTCTTCCTCACTCTGGGTTTTTTATAATTACTTAATGCTAACTTTTAGTTTTTTACTATTTTGGCCACATCTGCGGAGTACCAAAGTGGTTTCTTGAACTTTTTGCTTTTATTGACAAGCCTAATGCAATTTTCTGTTGCCTTCAGCAGTGCAACTTTTAAATAATCCCATTTATCTTGGACTCCAATTAAATTGCTCTAGTCTGACTCCTTTACACATATTCTAATTTTAGAAAAATCTGTTTTTCTGAAGTCTAAATATTGTTTTTGTGTGGTGTGACTCGGTCATTGTTCTTATATTAAACCACACTGACTGATGATCACTGGATCCTAAACTTTCACCTACAGTAATATCTGATACCAAATCTCCATTTGTTAACACTAAATAGAGTTGGCTCCTCAACGACTTGTTTTAGAGACAATCCCAGTAGGGAGTTTAGAATATGTGTGCTCCTGGCACAAGCAGCTATTTTGGTTTTCCAATTCACATCAGGAAGATTAAAGTCACCCATGATGATAACTTCCCCCTTCATTGTCATTTTAGATATTTCCTCAACTAGTAGATTATCTAACTCTTCTATTTGTCCTGGGGGCCTATAAATCACACCTACACGAGTTACTGTGTGATTACCAAATTCTAACGTAACGGACTCTATGTTCGCCTCGCTAATTTTTATTAGATTAGATTTTATGCTATCCTTCACATACAGGGCTACCCCTCCCCTTTTCTTGCCTTCCCTGTCTTTTCTATATAAAGAGTACCCTGGTATTGCTATGTGCCAGTCATAAATCTAAATCATCAGTTGCCATTATTGCCACAAGTTCATGGATCTTATTCCCTAAACTGCAAGCATTTGTAGACATGACTAAGCTTATCATTTTTTAACACACTTGCTACAGGCACCTTCTGTCCTTGTTTTGGGGGGCAATTGGATTGATGTTTTATCACCTTTTGCCCCCCCCCCCCACGTTTAAATACATCCTAACAAAACCTCTGAACTGCTCACAGAGAACATTTGTTCCCTTTTGAAAAAGATGCAAACCATCTTTTTTTGTACAGTTTATTTCCATTCCAAACAGAGCTACCATGAGAAATAAAGCCAAATCCTTGCTCCTGACACCATTCACCAAGCAACAAGTTAAAGTCCCTAATACGCGTCCACCTGTCGTTTTGAGTGTTATGCACAGGCAGAACTTCAGAGAATGACAGTGTGGAAGCAACCACTCCTTTACTGTGTTAAACTCTACCACTTCAGCTGGAAGGCTATTCCATGCATCCACTACCCTTTCAGTAAAGTAATATGTCCTGATATTATTTTTAAACCTTTGCCCCTCTAATTTAAGACTATGTCCTCTTGTGGTAGTTTTTCTTCTTTTAAATAAAGTCTCCTCCATTAACTGTGTTGATTCCCTTTATAATTGTTTTTTTGCATTTTTAACACACAAACAAATAAGTTTCCCCCTGGAAGAATAAGGAAGGGGGAGCATGACTGCTGCCCAAGATTGGGGGCTGGGTTAAGATTGATACATTTGTGGTTCTTAAGGAAAGGGAGAGGGAGGGGACTTACCAGTCAGCAGGTTCATTGAGGGATCTTGGCTGTTTTCTTACCTGACTGGCCCTGTAATTCAAGACAAACAGTTAGAATTTAAAAAAAAAAAAAAAAAATTTGATTATCACCTAAACAGCGCATTCTACTGCTACTGACGGTCCACTTGCAGCAATTATGGCTGACACTGGAGCTGCTTTGCAGAGACTTCTGCAGTCTTACCTGGAGACCCATGGACAGGGGGCCCTGGAGGAGCTGGTGTCGGGCGTGAGGAATGTCCCCCAGGATGTAAGGGCCGGTCAGTCTGCATGCCGAGACGGACGGAGGGCCAGGAGATCGAGGCCTCCGTCGCGTCTTTCTCCCAGTCCAGTTCGGCGTCAGAGGAGGGGAAGAAGTGGCGGCTCGGCCGTGCGACCGCTCCGGAGTCCGGTACCTGGGAGGAGGAGGATCCGTTCCGGTGAGGCCGGTGGTTGTGTCCAGGTCCAAGATGGCGGCGGAAGCCAGGTTGCCGAAAGGGCGGGAAGATCGCGCTCTCCGCGCTCTTCTCTTCCGGCCGGCCCGGAAGTCGCGTCAGCACGCTCGGTGCGTGACGCGGACGCGGCCGGAAGGATCGTCATCACGCAAGGCGCGTACGTGACGTCACCGCGCAGGAGAGCGCGGACGTCACAGGCCTTGCGTTCCAGCGTGGTTCCGGCAGGAAGTGAGCCGGAAACCACGCGAGAAGAGCCCAGGAGGGCCACCGGAAGCCGGAGAGGCCACAGGAGTGGCAGCAGCAGCACCCTGGAAGGAAGATTGCGGTCGGGCCAGGAGGCCGGCCGTGAATCACCCCTGGGATCGGGGTCCAGTTCCGGTTCTGATGATGGTGAGACCCAGCATCCTCAGCCAGCCAGCGGTAAGTGTTGCGCTAGCGCTTGGCATGCGCTAGCTGGGGATAGGGTAGATAGTGGGTTTAATGGGGAGGTTCTGGGGTTGCTGAAGGCCGTGTTAGATAGACTCCCGGGGGGGGCCCTTTGTCTGTCCCAGTTTCTCTCCCTGCGCAGGCTCATGCTCAGGATAAAGGTCAGTGTATTCGGTCAGGTAGGGCGCAGTGCTTGCCAGGTTGCGAGCTGTCCCCACTTGGGATGCACGTGGCTTTGGAGGTGAAAGAGAGGATTGTTAAAGGTGAATACGTAGATTTACTGTCCCTGGTCCCTCCGGACCGGGAGTCGGTGGATAGGCCGCGGCGGGGAGATTCGGTGGACGGCGACAGAGGTAAGCATCTGCCGCGTACGTTTGGGAACTGGCTGCAAGGGTTCTCCATTTTTGCAAGTGTGATGACGCGGGCCTTCCCGGAGAAGGCACCAGCGTTGTTTGGGTATCTAGACCTCATATGGGGGGCGTACAAGGTTTATGGGGGACAATGTTGGTTTCGGTATGACCAACAATTCCGCCAGAAGATGGCGGTGTGTTCGGGTATGGATTTTGGGGTCCAGGACGGGAGCCTTTGGCTCTTGCTGATGACCCCTAGTCGTCCGTCCCCCTTTCCAGGAGCAGCCGGCGTGCCGTCCAGTGCGCCGGCTGGGCAGCGCAGGGGGGTCTGCTGGCTCTACAATGAGAGTCACTGCAAGTGGTTTGGATCATGCCGTTTCAAGCACGAGTGCTCTCATTGTGGAGGAGCCCACCCTGCGCTGCGCTGTTTCAAGAAGGGCAAGCATGGTGGAAGATCCAATAGGGAGGATCTCCCTAGAGGGGAGGACTCCGGTGAGCGTGCTAAGGATGCGCCCTTGGCTTGACCGGTATCCCAAGCGTAAGGATGCAGGGGTTCTGCTAGAGGGGTTTTCGACAGGGTTTTGGATTCCGTTTGTTCGTTCGGATTCCCCTTCCCTGGCAGATAACCTGCGTTCGGTGGTGGGTAAAGAGTCTATCTTAGAGGATAAGTTGAGGAAGGAAGTTTGTTTGGGCAGGATGGCGGGTCCATTTGACTCGCCTCCATTTCCCAATTTGCGGGTATCCCCGCTGGGGTTAGTTCCTAAGAAAGAGCCTGGATCCTTCCGTCTCATTCACCACTTGTCCTATCCCTCGGGTGGGTCGGTGAATGATGACATTGACAAGGAAGAATCACACGTTCGTTACGCCTCGTTTGATCGGGCATTAGAGTTGGTCCGGGAGGCAGGGAAGGGAGCTCTGTTGGCGAAGTCGGACATCGAGTCGGCTTTTCGCCTGCTCCCGGTCCACCCGGATTGTTTTCACCTGTTGGGTTGTCGGTTTCAAGGTTCCTTTTTCTTTGATATGTGTTTGCCTATGGGCTGCGCTATATCTTGTTCTTACTTTGAAATGTTTGCATCGTTTTTGGAATGGGTGGTCGCTCAGGTTGCGGGGATAGAGTCCCTAACTCATTACCTTGACGATTTTTTGTTTGTGGGCCCGCGGGAGTCGGATGACTGCGTGGGGCTCTTGGATTCCTTTCGGGCCGTCGCTGCGGATTTTGGTGTGCCGATAGCAGCTGAGAAGACGGTGGGTCCGGTGGGAGTCCTGTCCTACTTAGGGATTGAAGTGGACACGTGGAGCATGGTTTTCCGCTTGCCGGACGACAAGCTGACTCACCTGCTGCGGCTGGTGGATTCGGCTAAAGGGGCCAAAAAAGTGCAGCTTCGGCAGTTGCAGGCCCTGTTAGGGCATCTGAACTTTGCCTGTCGGGTATTGCCGATGGGCAGGGCTTTTTGCCGTCGTTTGTCCTTGGCAACGGTCGGAGTCAGGCAGCCATTTCACTTCATTCGAATCAATCACCGGCATCGAGAGGATCTGCAAGTTTGGAGTTCGTTTCTGGGTATGTACAACGGGCAATCCTGCTGGCTGTGCCCGGCGGTGTCCAATACGGATTTAGAATTATACACGGACGCGTCTGGGTCTGTGGGTTTCGGTGCCTACTTTCAGGGGCGGTGGTGCGCGGAGGCCTGGCCCCGACACTGGCGAGAGACGGAATTGGTGAGTAACTTGACGTTTCTGGAGCTCTTTCCCATTGTGGTGGCTGTGGAGCTCTGGGGTGTGGAGCTGTCGAATCGGAAGGTAGTGGTGCACACGGACAACATGAGTGTGGTCCATGTGATCAACCGATCTACGTCTGCGTCGCCTCCGGTTTTGACGCTCCTCCGGCGCTTGGTCCTGCTTAGCTTAGCACATAATTTGTGGTTGGTTGCGCGCCATGTGCCTGGGGAGCGGAACGTTATAGCCGACTCTCTCTCTCGGTTTCAGTGGGACAGGTTTCGGGCGGCAGCTCCAGAGACAGAGCAGGCTGGCACCTCGTGCCCGGAGGATATATGGGACCTGGTTTCCACCATTTGAGCCGGTTGGCGAGAGAGTCGCTGGCGGAGTCGACGTGGAAGTCGTATTCTGCGGTCTGGCGGCAGTGGACAGGTGTCTGCAAGGACAGGGAGGCGTCTACGGACGAAGGTAGGCTGGGAGCGACTCTGGCCTTTTTGGAGTCACTCTGCGAGAAGGGTAAGTCGGTAGCGGCAGCAGAGAGGGCGTTAGCGGCCCTGTCTTTTCTGTTCCAGTGGTGTGGGTGGCAGGATGCGACCAAGTCATTCTGCATTTCGCGGATCATGAAGGGCTGGAAGAAGGGTCGTAGGCGGGACGCTCGGCGTCCCATCTCCTATGAGATCTTGTGCAGACTCCTGGAGCGTCTGCCCCAGATTTGTGTTTCGGGCTACGAGGTTCTCCTGTTTCGGGCCGCGTTTGCTGTCTGCTTTTTTGCGGCTCTTCGGATAGGCGAGCTGGTGGCACCGAGTACGCGGGGGCCAGCTGCCATGCAACTTGCTGATGTCACGGTCTCGACGGGTGACATGGAGTTGATCATTCGTAAATCTAAGACAGATCAGGTAGGTGTGGGCGCATCGGTTCGGATTATGGCTACTGGTGAGCAGTTTTGCCCGGTTAAGTTGCTGCGGGATTTCTTGGCGGTGCGAGGATCGGAGGCAGGATCCCTGTTGCGGCATCGGGATGGGTCAGCGCTCAGCCGGTTTCAGTTCGCCAGGGTTCTCCGGGCAGGGGTGGTTAGTCTTGGGTTGTCTCCGGGTTTGTACACCACGCACTCGTTTCGAATCGGAGCTGCCACGCAGGCTAGTCAGCTGGGCCTTCCCACGGAGGCGGTCAAGCGTTTGGGGCGCTGGCAGTCGGGCCGGTACCAGCTCTACGTGCGCCCCCATTTGCTGTAGGCTAGCATCGTTACGGTGATGGTTGTCTGTTATTTTTATTATAGGTCCTGCTCCTCGATTTGTCTGGATCGTGGGACACTCATTTGTTTATTGGGCTGCTAGGCGTGCGGAGGCTAGACCCTATGGCCGTAACCTCGGTTTATCGTACGAGGTAGCACGGGTACGTTGGAGGGGGATTCGGGGATTGTCCTGGGATGGGTTGTACACCGAGCTGGTTCAGCTCCGGTGCTGTGTGTCAGGGCCGGTGACCTTAGTAATTCACGTGGGCGGGAACGATGTCGGACGGCGACGGTCGGTGGACCTAGTTCGTGCAATGCGGCATGACGTGGCCCGCTGTTTTGCGTTGTTCCGGGACCTGACCCTCGTCTGGTCCGAGATCGTTCCGCGCCCGGTGTGGCGGTCCGGGGGTCATGGTAAGGCTTTGGAGCGCTATAGGCGTAAGGTTAACATGACCATGTCTCGGTTTGTACGCCAACTGGGGGGTGTAGTTGTGAGGCACTTTGAGTTGGAAGGGGTTAATGATGATGTCATGAGACGGGATGGTGTTCATTTGTCCCCCATTGGGTTAGATATTTTCAATATGGGATTACAAGCAGGAATTGAGGCGGCGCTGTCGGCGGGGGGGCGCGATGCCCGCGCAGCGTAGTGCGCGAGGTGGGCATCGCGGTGGCGGGTTTCCCTGGACAGCGCAGAAGAAAAAAGGAGCTTTGGGGAGACGACAGCCTGCACAGAGCTGATGGCGAGGAGCCGGCTGTCGAGGCTCATGGTATAGAAGTTGGGAGAACTGCCTGTTGGGAAACACCCAACAGCTGGCAGAGTTGGACTAAGTTAAAAATTATTATGTTAAATAAAGCTGTGGCCGTTGCCCTTATCCACAAGAAGAAAGTGTCACGTGTATTATTTGGGGGGCAACGGGTTTATTGGTTGGGGGACTGGTTGGGTCAGCAGTCAAGTTTCCCCCTGGAAGAATAAGGAAGGGGGAGCATGACTGCTGCCCAAGATTGGGGGCTGGGTTAAAATGGATACATTTGTGGTTCTTAAGGAAAGGGAGAGGGAGGGGACTTACCAGTCAGCAGGTTCATTGAGGGATCTTGGCTGTTTTCCCACCCTCCCACCCTGTTTCTGGTGTTGTGGCTTGTGTCTTGTTTTCTTGTTTTGTGTTGTCACAGCTTGGCGGGTTTCCCTGGACAGCGCAGAAGAAAAAAGGAGCTTTGGGGAGACGACAGCCTGCACGGAGCTGATGGCGAGGAGCCGGCTGTCGAGGCTCATGGTATAGAAGTTGGGAGAACTGCCTGTTGGGAAACATCCAACAGCTGGCAGAGTTGGACTAAGTTAAAAATTATTATGTTAAATAAAGCTGTGGCCGTTGCCCTTATCCACAAGAAGAAAGTGTCACGTGTATTATTTGGGGGGCAACGGGTTTATTGGTTGGGGGACTGGTTGGGTCAGCAGTCATGCATGCTAACTTTGGCCAGTGTTTGTGACTAAGTGGCTACCTACAAACTATTTAGCATGGGTGTTTTTTTGGCAGTTGTAGATGCTTAAAGGGACACTCCAGGCACCCAGACCACTTCTGCCCATTGGAGTGGTCTGGGTGCCAACTCCCACTACTCTTAACCCTGCAACTGTAAATATTGCATTTTTTTTTTTTATAAACTGCAATAATTACCTTGTAGGGTTAATTCCACCTCTAGTGGCTCTCAACTAGACAGCCACTAGAGGGCATTTCCTGTATCAGAGCATAGCTGGACGTCGTCACGCTGTGTGAGGACCTCCAGCGTCGCTCATTTCCCCATAGGAAAGCATTAAAATGCATTTTCAATGCTTTCCTATGGGGAGCGCTAATGCGGATGCCGACGCAATCACTGGGAGGAGCGGCGGCGGCGGAGGAAGAAGCAGCGACATGAGAAATTAAAGCGGTACTGTCAGCCTTCCCCCTTTTCCTGAAAAGTTTATATTTCATAAAGGTAGAATCTTTTAAATATTTTATTTTGACAGTTTTGGAATTTCATTGAAATGCCAACCCAGCCGAGAGACCTACTGAGACAAATTAGACTAGTTTGTGGGCTCAAACCTCTTTCCTGACATGAGGATGGTGAATGGGTCTGGTGACCATGTTTAATAACCCCTGGATCCTAGGCAGCTGCCAAAGGTCACATTACCACCAACCCTGCTGCTCTGAGACTTATTACAAGTCTTACCCCCCACCCCCCAAACTTGCAGAACAGTCACTGCGTGCGCGCCCTCAGAAGGGAGAGAGCGAGCACGCGCGCGCACCCGCGGCCCGTGTCGGAATGCGGGTGGGCCGTGCACGCGCGCTCTCTCTCGCTCTTGCTTGGCTCCTGTGTGGCGGGGGCGCGCAGGCTACGTCCCTGTCACGTGCCCGTGGAAGCCTGCGCTCGCTGGTTGTTGCCGTAGTCCGAGGAGGAGGCCCGGCATGGAGCCGCTGGGGGCCGAGTGAGGGACAGCCAGGACGGCGGCTCGCAGGGACCCAGTGCGCGCGCTCTGCCCCGGGGATGGCCCGCGGGCCGCGATGACCCGGCCGTGTTCCCCCAGGCAGGCCGCCGGGGAGTGCTGGTGGAGGATGTCCGGCCGGCGCTGCGCCGGGGCCTCGGCCGCTGCCCAGGGGGACTCGGCGGGCGCGGTGGAGCCGGCTCGGGAGCTGTTCGAGGCCTGCAGGAACGGTGACGTGGAGCGGGTGAGGAAACTGGTCAGCACCGAGAACGTGAACAGCCGGGACACCGCCGGCAGGAAATCAACCCCGCTGCACTTCGCCGCAGGTAATACAGACACGGCCTCCACCTACCGCATACACACCTACCGCATACACCATGGGAGGGAGCTCACCTACCGCATACACCATGGGAGGGAGCTCACCTACCGCATACACCATGGGAGGGGGCTCACCTACCGCATACACCATGGGAGGGGGCTCACCTACCGCATACACCATGGGCTCACCTCACCTACCGCATACACCATGGGAGGGGGCTCACCTACCGCATACACTATGGGAGGGAGCTCACCTACCGGGGGCTCACCTACCGCATACACTATGGGAGGGGGGGAGCTCACCTACCGCATACACTATGGGAGGGAGCTCACCTACCGTATACACTATGGGAGGGAGTGAGCTCACCTACCGCATACACACCTACCGCATACACTATGGGAGGGAGTGAGCTCACCTACCGCATACACACCTACCGCATACACTATGGGAGGGGGCTCACCTACCGCATACACACCTACCGCATACACACCTACCGCATACACACCTACCGCATACACTATGGGAGGGGGCTCACCTACCGCATACACTATGGGAGGGGGCTCACCTACCGCATACACTATGGGGGCGGGGCTCACCTACCGTATACACTATGGGAGGGAGTGAGCTCACCTACCGCATACACACCTACCGCATACACTATGGGAGGGGGCTCACCTACCCGCGCCACTATATGGGGGGCTCACCTACCGCGCATACACTTACTATGGGGGGCTCACCTGCGCCACTTTATGGGGGCTCACCTACCGCGCCACACTATGGGGGGCTCACCTACATACACACTATGGGGGCTCACCCACACGCCACACTGGGAGGGGCTCACCTACAGCATACACTATGGGGGCTCACCTACCGCATCCCGCATATGGGAGGGGCTCACCTACGCATCCCACACTATGGGAGGGGGCTCACCTACCATCCACTATGGGAGGCTCACCTACGCATCCCACTATGGGAGGGGCTCACCTGCCGCATCCCACACTATGGGAGGGCTCACCTACGCATCCACTATGGGGGGAGGGCTCTACCGCATCCACTATAAGGGGGTTAACCTACCGCGCGCATACACTATGGGGGTCATATCAGTACATGGAAAGTGCCGCCTTGCACGATATATATATATATATATATATATACACACACACATATAGTATGTCCTGGTCATATCAGTACATGAAAAGTGCTGCCCTGCAGGATATTGAATAATATATAGTATGTCCTGGTCATATCAATACATGAAAAGTATATATTTTTATTTTATTTGTATAGTGCCATCAGATTCTGTAGGGGTGGACTAACAGACATTTAATTGTAACCAGACAATTGGACATACAGGAACAGAGGGTGTGGAGTGCCCTGCTCAATGAGCTTACATTCTAGATATAATACATATATAAATGTACTGCTATTCCTGTTCATATCCAGTCTCTCTCTCTCTCTTCCTTTCTCTCTCTCTCCATATTAGTACATGAAAAGTGATTCCCTGCAGGATAAATATCTATTTATACTGCAAGTTTCCTTATTAATAACATTACAGCCAGTATAGGAATTCCACATCCTGCAGGGGCAGCACTTCTCATGTACCTGACATATACAGGAGTGATGCATGTCAGTGAAAGCAAAGTGAATGTGGAAATCCTAGTAAGAACCTAACATACCTGTGCAATGGGGTTGCATGATCAACTTTGTTTTCCTGAAACACTATCACTACTTCCTGCTGAAAGGCAGTGCATTGTAATAGGTTGAGTTTATGAGGCAAAGACAGGAAATTATTTAATGAATGTCAAGTCTTTAGGTAACCATGTTGATGAGTTAACTTCCTTAACTCGGGTACATAAAGTAATGCAAATCTTTTCATGTACTGGGCATCAACAAGAGTGTGGTATGTTGGTGAATGTGGGAATTGTAGTAAGATTCCCCCTTCCATGTGCAATGGGATGGCAAGATCCGCTGTGTTTTCCTGTAAAACTATCACCACTTCCTGCTAAAAGGCAGTGCATGTTGAGTTTATAAGGCACAGAAAGGAAGTTACTTAATGCATGTTATTTTATTAAGTAATGTACATAATGTATGGCAAATCTTTTCATGTACTGCCCATTGGCATGAGTAATATGAGTACTGGCATCTCTACTGAGTATTACTGCTGTAGTACATATTGATCCAAAGGGCTTAAAATAGTGGTTCACAAACATTTTAGGTTCAAGGCGCCCTTAATATTTCAGTATTTTTCTAAGGCACCCAAAGTCAGAATTTCTAGGTTGTATATCTGTACAGCGCTGCAGTATTTACTGGCGCTATAGTGTAATGTACAGTTTGTGTTTTGAAGGGGTGCTTTTATATAGTTATATGTTCACTTTTAAATGTGGATGTACATTTGTGTAAAGTATTTGGTTTGAGTGAATGGGTGTGTTTTGTATAATTTTTTTTGAGTTTGAATGCAGGGGTGTGCTTGTATGTAATCTGTGTTAGAATGCAGGGGTGTGCTTATATGTTGTGCTGGTGTTGGACTGCTTGGATGTATGCACAAACATACACAGATATTCATGTACATTAACACACACATAGATACACACCGACACACACACAGATATAGATACACATATAGATACATACTGACACATATGCACCCTGACACACACAAACATTGATACATGCCCACACCACTTCACAGATGCACATACACAGTGCGACGCGGCACACAGTTTGGGAATCGCTGGGTTAAACTATTCTCAAACACCGCATTGCTCTGTCTATCTGGATAGCTCTGTCCTACTTTTTGCAATCCTACCTAACAGAATGCTCTGGCAGTAGCACTATTGGTTGGGTTTGAGTGGTCAGCTGACACTCTTCAGTCAATCAGCAGCTCCCCACTCATAAAAACTCTATGCATGGCGCTTCAGCTCGATGCTGCCGGAGCCTTCCGTAATTTCAGAGAAACTGCTATGTTTACCTAAGGGTTAATCCAGCGTCTAGTGGCTGTCTCATTGACAGCCGCTAGAGGCGCTTCTCACTGTGAAGACGCTTGCGTCCATAGGAAAGCATTGAGAATGCTTTCCTATGGACTGGCTGAATGCGTGCGCGGCTCTTGCCGCGCATGTGCATTCAGCCGGTGACGTTAGAAGAGGGGGGAGAGTTCCAGCGCTGGAAAAAAGGTAAGGGATTAACCCCTTCCTCCCCCTTCAGCGTAACGGGATTGGGACACTTGAGGGTGGGGGCACCCTCTGGGCACTATAGTGCCAGGAAAACAAGTATGGTTTCCTGGCACTATAGTGGTCCTTTAAGGCAGCAACTATGCAGGCTCCATACTAGTGGACATATCTATACCCTTTTCTCCTAATGTTTGTTTACAAGACCTCCTAATACTAGTCTCAAAATGTGGCAAGACCTTTATTCCCACATTTACTTACCAAAGCTTGTAATGTTTTACAGTGTTCTGGAGGTGGAGTATGAGCCCCTGTGGTTTGAGATTTGATTGTTAGAGTTTAGGGCATATGTTCCCCAGAGGAACTAATTTTGTTGGTTTCTGATTATTAACAAAAGTACCTACTTGGTTCCATTGGATGCAGTGGCTGTCCTATCGGTCTGCTGGGCCAGGTTTTTTTTTGTTTGTTTGCTTTTTAAAGCTTGGGTGGATTCTTTTGGAACAAACATACCCTCATTGTGTGCTTCTTCTTACCATACAATTTTCCATTTTAAATCTGCGCCTCCCAACCACCCGCCACTCTCTCCTTCGTTATTACTTCTCCAAGCAGGACAATCCGCCATGATGGTAATGACATGTAGGAATCGATCGATATAATATTCCCATAGGAGATACAGATTATTGGATGCCTATAGGGGCGATAACCGGTGCCAATATTCTGTGCATTTAAAGTTTTGAAAAAGCAGCACTATTTCTACATAAATCTGGCACTAACTGAACAGCATTAACACTCGTATCACTCTCAGGCAGTGAATACGTGCTAGTACTTTGTTTTATATTACCCCAGAAAGCATGATAAACACTTGTTTGGAATACCACCTGGGGGTTTCTCCTGCCGTCCCTTGTAACTCACTCTTTGCCATAGATTTCTTTGCTGCCAGCATAGATAAGTCTATGCCAAAGCTTAATTGCATGCTGGGAGAGAGAATGGATTTTGAAAGCATTAAAAAAAAAAAAATCTATTTGTTTCATAGTATTTTTGCCAGCACATTTTAGAGATGAAAAGTAATGCTCCTTAAAGCTAACTTGTATGTACATGACATAAAACAAAAACTGAACTGCTTTTATCTTTTGTAGGATAAACTTTGATTTGTTAGCTGTCAGTGTACCAGTAACCTGTTTCCTGCTTTATCCCTTGGAGTGATAGAAGTACTATGTTACTCTGATCAGGCCGTGTGCTGTAGTCAGAGCGTCCTGAAAAGCATGTGTGAGAGGAGGTGGCATGAGTTATGTGACTTAAGTACCAGTGCCAGGAGAGTGTATATCATTTTGTCACAAGTGATAATTAAATATATTTTCTATTTTTACGTTATATGTTCATTGCTTAAAGAGATGTTCAAAATTAAAGTGGAAACATCAATTCACTGGATATCACATAAGTGAATTAAACATTAAAATGACCTATAGTTTGTGATACACTATTTCTATAACAATATACTATTTACTTTTTAATTTACACTACAAATTTAGCAAATGAAATCAAAATAGAGTTCAGCACAGGTCTGACTAGGGTGCACTTTACAAATAAGGAGAAAGAGACCATAGTCCAAGAGTATCCTAGTTTAACCGCACTTTGCAAAAGTGCTGTTTTGTATGAGAAATCAGCACTTCTATTAATTAACTCGGGAACTCCCCCTGGGTGTCAAACAGCCAGGAATGTTTGCAGCCTCCTTCTGTTAGCTCCCTCACAGACCTCTGGCCAGCTCTTCTGCTCCAGACCTCAGGTAAGACGTGCACGCGGGCAGCAAGTCAAAGGCTTCTCAGTTATTTATTTCCCTGTGAATTTGGGGGAAAACAGGGAAGGGATTGCTAAGGGGGAAGTTCATAAGATCTGTCAAATTTGCAAGCTCTTTAAAGATATACCCCCCAATACATACATGCATGTATTCACAGGAGGTATATCTACTAAATAGTGTGGGCAGTGAAGTGCTCCTTTAAGGATTGACATGGCGTTATGATGGAGAGCCCTAGTTGTAGGACAAAGAGGTGTTGATTTCTACATTTAATTAAAAGAACACTCCAAGCACTATAGCCATTACAGTGCACTGCAGTGATTATGGTTCCTGGTATGCCCTGACTCTTTCCCAGGAGAAGTAAAAACAGTACTTATCTGGTGTCTGCATGGCACTAGCCACTGCCTCTTTTGGAGCTGGTAGCTCCTGCTATAGGCTTCCATTATCTCCACTGAGTGTCAGCCAAGTACTCTTATCCTATGAGCTAAGCTCTATACTGCTAGACTTAGCTCAGTACTACAGTTTCTGGCACCCAGTGGATTCCAAGTGAATTGTCAAACCGTTTGCAATTGGTTTAACTACTTACCCTGAGAGTGCGCCAGGGTGAATTGTAGTGGTTATGCTGCTTCGAATGTTCCTTTAATTTTATCTTTAACATCGCACAAATATCGAACAAACATTAACTCCGAAAGAATATTTTAGCAGATTTAACATTTTGCTCCACAATTACCTAGATCGCCACATAGTACACATCAAACATGGAATAATAACATAACGTGGTTAGGAAATGCTGTCTGTTTAAATTAAGATCCAGTTGTCAGTACCACTACAGTGACATTACTGCCTCTTTAAGTCAACTAAATTTGAGTAAAATAAGAAGGCAAAAACAAACACAAGTTTATTTATAATCATGACACAAATACTCTTTTTTTTTTTTTTTGCACAAAGTAGAGATGTTTAATACTGTGGGGCTACATGGAGGACTCACGGTTCTCTGCTTATCACTTAACTTTTTTGACCCGTTAGACTGTTTACAAATCAGTGAGATGGTTGCCTTTTTGTAATCATTAAAGGACCACTATAGTGCCAGGAAAACAAACTCGTTTTCCTGGCTCTATAGTGCCCTGAGGGTGCCCCCATCCTCAGGGTCCCACTCCCGCCGGGCTGAAGGGGGTTAAACACTTACCTTTCTCCAGCGCTGGGCTCCCTCGGCGCTGGGGACTCTCCTCCTCCTTCCGACGTCATCGGCTGAATGTGCATGCGCGGCAAGAGCCGCGCGCGCATTCAGCCAGTCCATAGGAAAGCATTCTCAAGACTTTTCTATGGATGCTGGCGTCTTCTCACTGTGAAAATCACAGTGAGAAGGCCCCCTAGCGGCTGTCAATATGATAGCCACTAGAGGCTGGATTAACCCTAAAGTAAACATAGCAGTATCTCTGAAACTGCTATGTTTACAGCAGGCAGGGTTAATCTTAGATGGCTCTGGCACCCAGACCACTTCATTGAGCTGAAGTGGTCTGGGTGGCTACAGTGGTCCTTTAATCATGTGTTTATTGCTTAGGTCTTTATCTTCTTAGAGATCTATGAGCACTGATTTAGTAATGACTGATTGAACAGATAATGTGTTTTGAAACATTGCACCTCAAAGTATATTAGGAATAAAAAAATGTAACTTTTTAGCAAAACAAAAATAAAAACACTTTGCTCTGGCTGTATAAATTCCCTTTTTTTTTAATAGATTACCTTAAAAGTTGGGGGGGGGGGAGGGGCTTTTTTTCTGAATAAAGTGTTAAAGAGCTTTGACTTTAGTGACGCTAGTGCATAATCACGTCAATGGCATACTTAGCTGACCTCGGCCTCATGGGAACTACATTTTTGCAAGTTATTGCAAATTACATCCAAATAACTGCTTGGAAAAATTCTCTAAATCAACCATAGCCACAACTTTGGTAAATTTTACCTCCATTTTGCCATTCACAAAAATTTTGAGTTTAGGGAACAATTGTTCAATGTTTCTTGGAATTTGCTGTTTCCTGTTTAATGTTTCTTGGTATTTGCAGCAACATGTTAACCCCCAGCTTTCTCTCTGTAGGATTTGGTCGCAAAGATGTTGTTGAATATTTGCTGCAGACTGGTGCCAATGTCCATGCTCGCGATGATGGAGGACTAATTCCTCTCCACAATGCTTGCTCCTTTGGCCATGCAGAGGTTGTGAATCTTTTGCTAAGACATGGAGCTGATCCTAATGCCCGTGACAATTGGAATTATACCCCTCTTCATGAAGCAGCCATCAAGGGCAAAATAGACGTTTGTATCGGTATGCAAATAACACTTACATTTTTGTGATGCTCAATGTCAAAAAAATTAGACGGCAATATATCTACTTCGTTTAATCATGTGTATGTTTTGAGTAATTCTATTATTGACAGTTTGTCATTTGCAGGGTTATGTAACTGAGAATTCAAAGAGAATTTGAACCCTCAAAATGGGTTAAAACGCACATTATTTTCAGCTCTCTGCCTGCGCTGGACCCAGCCCCTTGGTGACATCATCAGAAATTGCCAATTTTTAGCCAATCTAATGCTTTCTCATTAAGCTGTAGTTGTTCTGGTGACCATAGTGTCCCTTTAAAAATAAAAAGTGAGGACCAGTTGTACCTCTGAGAACTGAAAATTGCACTGGAACAACTGGCCTGAAAGAGTGTGTGTGTGTATATCTGAGCCTGTGGGTGAAGTATGAAATTGTGGGAGGGGTTACTTGGCCTATATATATATACAGGCCGCTCCTTCCTCTGTGTTGTTACCTGCCTGTTTCCCATATACTTTAATAGTCACAGTTCTGAGGTTCATGTGTGTTAGGGCAAGAAAACACCTACTGGTGTAATCCTGATTAGTACGGCTCTTGGAACGTTAAACCCCATGAATGCCATGGACTGCAACAAGAATTTGAAGGATAGACTGTTTTGTGGGTGGCTAGTGTAAATTCCTGATGTGACTACTTCCTTTTTCCTGCAACAGTGCAAGCTACAGTGGCCTTTAGGAGTGAAAAACTATTTGTCATGCTTGCGTTACAAACATTGTTGTGATCTAGTACAAGAGTATGTCAGCTATTTTTATGAAGGTTTTGAATTCTTGGGATCTAGCAGGGTGTCTTCACTTCATGGCCTTTACTGATTATTTAGTTATTCCTTTGTTTGGTTTAAATCAAATGTCACTCCTAGACATTTTTCTTTAATGGGGAGTTGGTGTGTAAGACAATTATGCGGGCCCTGCATTTCTACTGTTACTGGGTTCATTTGAGTAGGTTATGAATGTACTTTGATAACCATAGCAGTAGTGCAAGCCTTACTTTCTCAAGCTCTGCAAGGAGTATGGTGCAGATGTTACTCTGGACACCTATCATTGCAGAACTGGGCATATTGACTTAGTGACTGGTGTACGTTTGCAGACTGATCCCACTGAAAAGGCAGTCCAGATCAGAAATGCTGGCTGACTCGCTCTGCATGAGAGATACAGTAACCTCAAGACTTTTCCTGCTTTGACAGTGTTACAGCAATATGGATCTATAGCAGATGAGGATGTACAATTTGACCACCTTTGATATAAAATAAATACATAAAGCTGGATACTGGTGGAAAGAGATTTATCCAGTCTGAGGACATGGGTTTTATGTAATTAAGTAACTTGCTTTTGAATGGCATAAATCTATCTAGCAGACGTGACCTATGCCGCTTTTTTGTTTAGTCATGTTTTTTTCCTAGTGCAGATTTATAAGAATAAATGCCATTCGGCTTCAGAGGGGAACAGGGGTTTTCAAGCAAACAAAATGAAATTTTCTTTGTATTGGCATTTATTTTCTGTGCTGTATTTGAGAAAGAGGAATGTGTAAATTGCCATGCCTAATTGTTTAGAATATGACTGCAGATGCATAGATTTTTTTTTTTGTTTTTCATTTTCGTCTGAGTTATTGTTTCATTTGTAACATGTATTTCTGACCCTGTAGTGTCAAAAACACAATCCAGCATCCCTTGCCTTTTAAACGTTGTAACATTTTACCTTTATTCCAGTCTGCTGCTGCTGGCTCTGCCCCTGATCTGCTTCCTTAGCTGTCTTCAGCAGAAGTGATGATCTCAACCAATCACAATGATTTCCCATAGGAAAGCATTGAATTGGCTGAGATCATGAATTCTGATGATCTCAGTCAAGGATGCATCTATATGAGGAAAGTTCAGTGTCTCCATGCAGAGGGTGGAGACACTGAATGACAGCACTGTCACAGGAAGCACCTCTAGTAGCCATCTAAGGAGTGACAACTGGAGGTATCCTTAGGGAGCAATGTAAACACTGCCTATTCTATGAAAAGGCAGTGTTTACTGCAAAAAGCCTGCAGGGACGGCCTAGACTCGTCAGAAGAACTACATTAAGCTGTAGTTGTTCTGGTGATTATTGTGTCCCTTTTAATTATGTGCTTTAAAGGGTCTCCATAAACACGACCACCACTTTACATAGTTGCAAAGGATGGCACACAGCATGCTGAGGCCACTCTCCATCTAAGAATGGCTTTGAATTTATGAAAGTTGATGCAGCTTTAGGACTTCTCCCTCAGAGCTGTCAGGCAGCTGAAATGCTTGTTTCTGGCTTCCTTAAATCCACTACAGCTCCTATTGTGAGAGCTGAACCTTGGACTTTGCACTTCTGATTGCATCTCTCCCCATCATTGCACATCGCCCAATACACTAAACTGGGCTGTGTGGCATGCCTGCTGCCTGTCCCACTCATCCTGATTGTGTGCAAATGTTTTTAATGATAAACTACTTAAGATAAGACTGCCTTCCTTGAGGTGTTCAGGTAGGTCTTCTTAACAGTGTTTCTGAAGGGTAAGATAAGTATCTTTTTTTTTTTTGTCGGTTGTAAGAATTCAGTCTTTGTATGAGTGAAATAAAAGGTTAAATTCCTGGCACGTACTGTGTATTTTGTAATTCCCCAAATTCACTGTTTACACCAAATGTTTGAATAGAGAAACTATTTACAATTTGTAAATGTCCAGAATATTGTACCAAGACATTACATCCTTGTGGTTTACTTGCATTTATCCTTATTATAGAAAGATAATATCTTATTTGTCATGTCTAGAATGTTAACTAATTAAATATTTCTGTCTTTGCAGTACTACTACAGCATGGTGCTGATCCTACTATACGTAACACAGACAGCAGAACCGCTTTGGATTTATCTGACCCATCAGCAAAAGCTGTCTTAACAGGTAATGATGGTTTTGTTCACAGATTGTAAATGAATACTGTACTTTAGGTATTTCCAGAAAGTCATACTGCTCTTATGCCATTTGTGCCAATAAAATGTCATAAATTGGAGAGAAATGCCCATCACATCCATTCCTAATTCCACTTATCTCATAGTGGAATTCTACACAAATGGGAAATGTTTAAACCATAAATTTTATTTGGTTTGGGAAAAAAATAGCTTTTTGGTAGAAGCATCATATATGGCGCTCTGTCTCTGTAATAATGTAGTTTTACCTTAAGTCCATAGGTGCTGATTAGCTTATTCCCAATTGCTGAAGTATCTGCTTTCCTTCTGTTAGCGCAATTATGTCTGACTATTCATTTTATTTATAATTTTGTGGTACAGGATCAGACATAGTTTTTGGAATTTACATTGCTGGGTACAGAGTACCTGTATAAATATGTTAATATGGACCCAGATAGCATTATCTTTTTACCAGATGCACAATGGTGAGTTATATAAATAAATAAAAAAAAGTAAGTGACTTACTTTTGCTGTAAATCTTTAGCCCACACTAGGAATTAGCTCTGCCAGTCAGGAGCCTTTTGTTTTTGTCCTGATATCTGAACTGTTGGACATGTTGCTGGATGTGTTGCAGAATGTCAGACTGTTAACCCCGACACTGCAGGGGTTCACGTGTAAAATGGACCCTAGCTGTTTCTAACACTCTTTGCAGATATTTGAAACATGACTGTATGTAGCCTACACATGGCGTTAAGGTTTGAAGATTAAAGGAACATTATAGTCACCTATATTACTTTAGCTAAATAAATCAGTTTAAGTGTATAGATCATTCCCCTGCAATTTCACTGCTCAATTCACTGTCATTTAGGAGTTAAATCACTTGGTTTCTGTTCATGCAGCCCTAGCCACACCTCCCCCAGCTGTGATTGACAGAGCCTGCATGAAAAAAAAAAAAACTGGTTTCACTTTCAAACAGATGTAATTTACCTTAAATAATTGTATCTCCATCTCTAAATTGAGCTTTAATCACATACAGGAGGCTCTTGCAGGGTCTAGCAAGCTAGTAACATAGCAGGGGATAAGAGAATCTTAATTAAACAGAACTTGCAATAAAGAAAGCCTAAATAGGGCTCTCTTTACAGGAAGTGTTTATGGAAGGCTGTGCAAGTCACATGCAGGGAGGTGTGACTAGGGTTCATAAACAAAGGGATTTAACTCCTAAATGGCAGAGGATTGAGCAGTGAGGCTGCAGGGGAATGTTCTATACACCAAAACTGCTTCATTAAGCTAAAGTTGTTCAGGTGACTATAGTGTCCCTTTAATAGAATTTGTCACTCAGACACAGTGCTTTGGGGCAGTGAAGCTGTCATGTGGATTACAAAACCCAGTGCCTCGGTCTCCGTGCCAAACAGAAGTTAACTCTTTTAATAGTGGAGGAGACTATAAAAATAAATAGGACAGACACATATTATATTTATTATCATGTTCTAATAGTGTGTTCTTGTGATCATGTACTTCACTAGACTAACCAGGCTAAACAAAAAGTTTAAAAATGACAAAAGTTGGACATAGGAATTTGGATTAAGATGCACAATACTGAGCATTTGTTTCTCAAACTGTACAAAAGCATGCAATGCAAAATACTGATACTTATGCCAAAAGCTATAAAACTCATAAAAAAAAGCATTTTAGTTTAGAGTGTCCCTTTCAAATAGTTACTTTTTGGTTACGTTATGTATAGAATAAACCTGTTTTTTATGAAAAGCAAGAAACTTATATTTTATAGTTGCTTACTGTCTTTTTTTAAATAAATACTTTAAGCTCTGAAATACATTTTATGGCAAATGCTTTCAAAGATATGTATGAAAATTACATGTCTATAATAACATGCATTTAATAGAAAACTTAACACGGTTCATTGTAGTGATATAGATACAGTCAGTGTAATGCAAGTTAAGGACATGTCCCAGTTAGGCCCTCTTGCTTCCCACAAATATAGCTAAGGTATATGTGTTAAGAAGTGAAATTATTACAGATTTGGAGGTTTAAGATAGGCTCATAATGAAATTTGCAGTGAAAATGCAATGTATTTGAAAATTTAAAAAATACTTGTCATACGGTCTGTGTATATGGTACACTATTTTTTACCTGTGTCCAATCACCCGTTCTCATCCAAACTGTCTGTAGAACTGAGGGAAAGTGCATTGTGAGCGTCTGTTTAAATGCGCTTGCGGTGAACTTTCGGTTAAATGCAGGCCATTTTAATCTCCTACACAGGTACTTCCTTTGTGGGTGGGCATGGTATCTGACGTACAGTTGACAGTGACAGAGATGCCTAATGCTTGCTCTGCCCACTTTCCTCCTTTACACAGTTTTAAGAGAAATCCTGAAAACTGACAGAAATTTGTGGTTACATGGCTTAATAAAAAGACTCAAAATACCACCTGTTAAATAGACTGCAGAGTGTGCTTATGCAATGGTGGACACCAGTGAAGTAATTTCAGATATGTTTCCTCACTTGAAGTGTCATGGGCCCAGCAAATCAGTCAATTAAAATCAGGACAAGTCTGCAATTTGGCCTTAGAACTACCCACAAACCTGGATAATGGTATACATGGGAGTACTCTCAGGGAATGTAGCAAAATACAGATCTAGAGTCATTGCATTGTTGTGGCCTATTGTAGTGTGAGAGAGACACTTGGCTATTTAACAATGCAATAACGTGTATTCTGTTTGTCTGATTTTGTAGTTGTTTTAAAAAGGACACAAGATTGCTAAAATTGATTTTAGCTGCACAGAAACTTAGAAATCAGCCCCTTTATGGCAGATGTTTTTATGTTTCTATAAGATAATGAAACATTAAAAAAAAGTTGAATTTCTAGTGTACATTTTTTATGTTAAAATGAACACTGTCCTAAATTGTATGTCTTGTTTCTTTTTTTTTTTTTTTTTGCAGGAGAGTACAAGAAAGATGAGCTGCTGGAAAGTGCTAGGTATGTTTTTTTACTTTTTAGTCTTTCTCAGAAATATCTTTCTTTTTTCTCTCTGTCTCTCTTTATAAAGGTAAAATAAACATTTTAGAACAATAATTGCTTTGCTAATTACCTATTTATGGTGGATTATTTTCACCTTTTGGCTTTTCTGAGAAATTTCGCACTTCCTTTTGTAGGAGTGGCAATGAGGAAAAAATGATGGCTCTTCTAACACCCCTAAACGTCAACTCTCATGCCAGTGACGGGAGAAAGGTAATGGATATCTTTCCAGTGTTGCCAGTTTTTTTAAACCATTGTTGTGCAATCTAGGGATTATTTGTTTTAAGTATATGCAATTAGTCACGTTTTGTTTTTGTTTCCCCACTTCATTCCGGTTTAGCAGGATGGGACAGCAGTTTTCAGCTCCAGTCCTCAGGGATCTCCAGCTAAGGTGAATCCAAACGCTAAGAGTACAAATAATTTATTATTGCTTTATCCAGGATGTTTTGAAAATAAGTGCTGTAGCAAGTTCATGAGGACTAGAGTTGCAAAACTTTATTAAAGGGATGTTCTAAGCATCAAACCCTCTTCGTCTTATTGAAGTGATTTTGGTGCCTAGACCTTGTCCCTTTTCTCTGGCAGTGTAAGACGTTGTTGTTGTTGTTTTGGAGAAACTGCAACATTTACATCTGCCTTAGAATATGCCTCTTGCGGCTGTCTGACAGCTGCTAGAGACACTTCCTCGTGAAGACCTTAGAAAATCAAAGGTCTTTTGCATGTTACGTCATCATGTACAGCATAATGTAGCCAAGCACAGTAAATGCATCTCACAGAGAAGCTTTGTATTTAGTGCTTCTCTATGAGAAGCATCAAATTGGCAGAGTGCTGCAATTGCAGTACATATGTATATGAGAAAAGCATTGATTTGGACCTAGATTACAACTGATGATAGGAGACAGTCCTTGTACTGGTTTAAAGGTAAGTTGTGAATGGTTTTATTGCAGTTTACTTAATTTCATAATGATATACTCTTAATCTAAAACAAAAAAAAGTAAAATTCTAAGCTTAAAGCGCTTCTTCAAGCACATTCTTCTCCCTAATATTTCCAAATCAATATATTAACTAAAATGTTCCTTTTCTCTACAGTCTACCCCACTTCATTTAGCAGCAGGCTACAACCGCGTCAAAATTGTTCAGTTGTTACTTCAACATGGAGCTGATGTGCATGCGAAAGATAAAGGGTAAGTATTTGTTTTATTTTTTGCTTGTTTATTTTTCCAAGTATAAATTAATTGCATTTATATTACACCTAAGGAAAGGCTTTAAACTATAGTACAGGCATACGCAACCTTCGGCACTGCAGATGTTTTGGACTACACCTCCAATGATGCTTTGCCAACATTATGTGTGTAAGAGCATTATGCGGAATGTAGTCCACAACATCTGGAGTGCCAAAGGTTGCCTATTCCTGCTACAGTATATCTTTATAACTAGTTTCTTGCTTTATATTATACTTAATGTTTAATATATTCAGATTATACCTGAGTCAGTGTATATAATTTGAAGTCGTATTCTACTAGACAGGCCTTAAAAGTTACTTACTATATCCTCCAGGGGGGAATTTCTACTCACCAGGGCTAACTTTTCACTCCCGAAATCCCCATTGTATCTATTTTCAGAAAGTTTAGCTAATCCTCACTGAAGCCATTACTCTTCAGTCTCCGGATCCAATTTGCTCTGCTAAATATTAACAAATGTAACTTTGTAGCTAAATTTGGATATGGGTAACTTAGGCTACTGAACTAACCTGTTCATGCAGGACTAGTCTGATAAAAATGTGAAGTGAATTTTGGATTTTGAACATTTCTGCCAGCTTAAGTTATTTGGTTTGGTTGTAATTTCCTTTTTTGTTGTTGTTTTTTTTGGTAGAGATCTGGTGCCTCTTCACAATGCTTGTTCATATGGCCATTATGAAGTAACTGAACTTCTGGTAAAGGTTCGTATTAAGATTTTACATATATAATTACAATGTGTGTATATAATTTTAAGTGTTTTGCCGTGTAATGCATCAGTTTGTATAGCTGGCTAATTGAAAATGATTTTCTTAAAAGTAGATAAATATGGTTTCTGAATACGTATGTTTACATGTACATGCTACTCAGATTTAGATGGTAATGTGGAATCTTGTGTTGCTAAATCTAAATACATTTTCCATCTTGTCTATAGATTTTACAAATGTGCTGCATTGGTTAACAAAATATATTGGCTCCATTTGAGTAGAAGTGTCGTTTTGTGTTTAGCAATGCTTCATTCAGGGGCTGAATGCTAGCTTTTGCAAGGTGTTTAAGACCCTGTTCATTTTATGATAATTTTTTCTGATCTGTAATACATTTACTTCTCAGCATGGTGCCTGTGTGAACGCAATGGACATGTGGCAATTTACTCCTTTGCACGAAGCTGCGTCTAAGAACAGGGTGGAAGTGTGCTCTCTGTTATTAAGTTATGGTGCAGATCCCAACATGCCTAACTGCCATAACAAGAATGCAATTGATTTGGCCCCAACTCCCCAGCTAAAGGAGCGTTTGTCGTGTGAGTAGGAAAACTTTAATTGCTGAATTATTTGTATATGTTTTTCTTTTACATTTCAGTCCAGTAATGTAAACCTATTACTACAAGTCTTTGCCTTTATAATTAAGGGTATAAGAAACCATTAACTTATTCCTGTGTCTTTAATACTATAACATACTCTATTATAGAACTTGTTTCTCTGCTATACAATTCATAAATGGGTAACTCCCACCACAATGTGTATATCTACAGAGGCCCCTAAAATAAACTACTGTATATACTCGAGTATAAGCTGACCCGAATATAAGCCCAGGCCCCTAATTTTACCACAAAAAACTGGGAAAACTTATTGACTCGAGTATAAGCCTAGGGTGGGAAATGCAGCAGCTACTGGTAAATTTCTAAATAAAATTAGATCCCAATAAAATTACATTAATTGAATATTTATTTACAGTGTGTGTATAGAATGAATGCAGAGTGTGTGTTTGTGTGTGTATATAATGAATGCAGAGTGTGTGTTTGTGTGTTGTGTGTGTATATAATGAATGCAGAGTGTGTGTTTGTGTGTGTATATATAATGAATGCAGTGTGTGTGTTGTGTGTGTGTATATAATGAATGCAGTGTGTATATAATGCAGTGTGTGTGTTTGTGCAGTGTGTGTAAACTGGGTGAGGGGAGGGCATTTTAATTTTAATTTTTTTATTTTAATATTATATTATTTTAATAATATTATTTTATTATTATATTATTATTATTTTAATATTTGCATTATTTTTTTTTTAAATGGTTTTTTTGTCCCCCCTCCCTGCTTGTTGCCTGGCCAGGGAGGGCGGACAAAAAACATTTAAAATAAAATAATGCAAATATTAAAATAATAATAATATAATAATAAAATATTGTTATTAAAATAATATAATATTAAAATAATAATATTACTATATTATTATTATTTTAATATTTGAATTATTTTTTTTTAAATGTTTTTTTGTCCCCCCTCCCTGGCCAGGCAACAAGCAGGGAGGGGGGACAATTTTTTTTATTTTTTTTTTAAATAATGCAAATATTACAATAATAATAATATAATAATAAAATAATGTTATTATTTTAATATTATATTATTTTAAAATAATAATATCGAATCCTTGGTGGTCCAGTGGCATTGGCAGTTCAGTGGGGGGGCTGGCAGTGAGCTCTTACTTACCTTCCTGCAGCTCCTGTCAGCTCCCTCCTCCTCCGTGCAGCTCCTCTGTCAGCTCCGTTCTGTTTACAGTGTAAGTCCCGCGAGACCCACGGCTCTCGCGAGACTTACACTGTGAGCAGAACGGAGCTGCCAGGAGCTGCAGGAAAGTAAGTAAGCACTCACTGCCAGCCCCCAACAGGACCGCCGGGCTCATTACAAGTCCTGGTCTGTATTATGGCAGTGTAAGTTGCCTTAATACCGACTGACTCGAGTATAAGCCGAGTGGGGGTTTTTCAGCACAAAAAATGTGCTGAAAAACTCTGCTTATACTCGAGTATATACGGTACATATTATCAGGGGTGTGGAAATTTAAAAAAAAATCGACTTGTCTTAAACATACAGAGTGCCATGGTCTCGGAACTATGCATAAATTCTGATTACCATACCACTAAAGCTTTAAATGATCTACCATTTAGCTCCGACTGATAACAATTGTTCCCAGCACTACCCTAAGCTTTAGTGGTTATGTTGTTTAGCTTTCATTTGCAAATGCTATCTGAAACATGAACCTTTAATGACCTTTCAAGCCATCCATATGTTTCTGTTCCATTTACTAGAAATGTTCTCTCCTCTTCTTTCCTTGTTGTCCAAGTTTTAGGTGGGTTGTAAATCAAAATCTTTATATTTTAGATTCTTGACCCATTTTATTTATACTTTCCTTATACAGATGAATTCAAAGGTCATTCATTGCTGCAGGCTGCAAGAGAAGCAGATTTAGCCCGCATTAAAAAGCACCTCTCTTTGGAGATGGTGAATTTCAAGCATCCTCAAACCAATGAGACAGCTCTGGTAAGAACTTAAAATATTTCTTAAAAATATGTAGTTTCTCTGGATGTTTACAGTGATTGCATATGTTGCAAACATTCTGACTTTGGTTGTACATCTGGATACTGTCCATTTGACAACAATTGGTTTGAAAAGTCTGTCATACTGTATTACTGGGCTTAGGCCAAGAACTTGTCATTTTTAAAAATGCATTAGTAAGTTTTTCGTTGTTAATATTCCATCTCATTAAAGTGGCATATGTAAAAGAATCTTAATAGTGAAAAAACAAAAAACTTAATTATATTATTTCCATTATATGCTTCAGTTCTCTGGGGTCTGCAGAGATCAGGAAGTGATTGCAGTTTCCTAATCTATTTTCAGTGAGAATGTTGTGTATATTACACAGTCAGACATACAAGGAGGTGAAGTCCATACAGTTTATTAGAACCATTTATAAGCAAGGCATTTTTCCATTACTCGGGGGAGAGAAGAGTAGTAACGGTGTGGGGTGAAGGGGGGCACTCATTTCTACTACAAGGACTGTTACAGTCAAGTATACAGTAAAACGCTATCAGGTTTATGAAAATTGTAAGGAATGCAAAGTGAATTCTATGTGCATTTCAAATTTTAGACCAGATTAGGAAAGCATATCGGACTAGAAGATATTTTTACAACTTTTCTTGTTGTGCAACCTAATGCCATCGATAAATCCACTATATATAGGTGTGGACCTTGCAGTAAGTATCTAGGTGTGGGAAAGTCGATGGGAAATCCCCTTGATATGCTTTATCTCACTAGAAGAGAAATGCTTGGGAGTTTTGCAATTCCTTTCCCTCAATATCTGTTTATGTTGCTACTACATTAATAGTTTCCATGGAAAAGATAGGTTTCTTTTTTTCTTTCATTCTTTTCATGAGATGATTACGCACAATCTCCTTAGCCTTGAAAAGAAATGTATTCATTGAACATATAAAGGCCAGACATTTTTTTTTTTATTCCTTTTGAAACTATTTATGGGTCATTTGTCTGACCTTTTTCCCCAGTATCTCAGGATTCTAAGGGAAACTATGCTTATCGTGAGCCTTCTCACAAAAATCAGGCAGTGATGGAATTTCTTTGGCTTCTATAGCTTTTCTGTTGGTATGTTTTTCTTGTTCCAAACAGCTCCTTGTATGTGGTTTGTTTATAAAAGTAAGGGTTGAGTCATTTCCCCACCAAAGTTTAATTTTATTTTGTGGTTTTTGAATCTCTGTTTAGCATTGTGCTGCTGCATCACCATATCCAAAGAGGAAACAAGTTTGTGAATTACTTATGAGAAAAGGAGCAAATGTCAACGAAAAGACCAAAGAGTAAGTCTTAAAAAAATGCATTTCCTCTGTTCTTTTAAAATGTATTTGAGTTGTTAATTCTTTTTCTCTTCATCCTTGCCCAAAGCAGCTTTTTGACACCACTTCACGTTGCTTCGGATAAAGCTCATAATGACGTTGTAGAAGTGCTGGTGAAACATGAAGCCAAGGTAGTGTTTGCAGTGACCATTAAACCGAAGTCAAAGTAAAAAAAAAATACACTTAGGATAACATTCCATATACGTTAAAATGATGCATGCTATTGTACCGATAGAATTAACAAGCCACCATTCTTGATTGTGAAACAAGCTGTCTATTTTCGTTGGTGACACACAAGAAGAATTCCATGTTTCTACATGTAACGGACCGTTTTGCACAAAAGGGGTAAAAACCGTTTAGGCGATCGGCCCCCTTTCCAGAGATACAGGCACAGCTACTGCAGAACACCAAACTCCCGAACTGGATACAAAATAGCACTCCAACTCCCGAACTGGAACCTCCCAAATAGCTGCTAGCAGACGAACAGGAAAAGCAGACAATCAGCTTACACTCCTGGCAATCAGTCTCTAACAGCATACAGTGAATCCCCCCAAGAACGAGACAAGGCTCCGTGTTGAGGGTCAAGCAGTGGTCTGAGTTGCTGGCACACCCAGCCTGGTTTTTATTACAGTCTTTTCAAATACAGGACCGCCCATAGGGAGGTATAAAACAACCAATCACATATCAGTTACATCCCACATATTCCCTCCCCTTATCTTGAGAGGAAACTCAATTACACATACAGTTAAAACATACTTTCTACCCAACTTTCATAACTCTAAAACCACACATTACATTCACATAAAATTACATATTCACAATCAATCCATTCAGGGGAACAACATATTAAAAAATGGCATGAATCAGACCAGGGGTTCAAAAGTTATTAAAGTATCTTTTGGGCCCTGGCTGGCACATGGCTATCTGGCTCAAACAGGTTTTACAGAGCCCTCTATTCTGGAGACAATGGGGAAAGTAATCCAATTATCCAGGGATAGATGCAGACTCCATTGAGAACATGGTTACAAAAAGACATAAAACACTTTAAAATACATAAAGTCACCTTTTACACATAACACACAGACATTTCACATATCCCCAGATAGCTGGGATCTGAGCGCACAAAACTACCGAATAGCGCGCAGATCCTATTCACTCAGTTCAATTGCCATGGAGCCGAAGTCTTTAACTACACAAATGGGCTCCATGGCATAGCTATCTGGGTTAACACATTTACATAAAGTCTGGTCCATAGTCCAAAGGCAGCAGGCGGGCAGCCAGGCTTCTCCAATGCAATGTGGCCAGATTGGTCTCGTCACACTACATATAACTGGATCCCCTAAGGTTTTTACATCTAAAAACAAAGAGAGAATATAAGCAATGACCAGCTTAATTTGTACACAGCTGAATTGACTGTAAAGGAATGGTCTGTTTATCTGCAGATACGTCTATATTGCTCTAAAGACACAAGCACTTAAAAATGTGTAGAGTCACTTTAGTTATAAGTCATTACGTTTCTGATAAAGCTGTTCAAGTCAGATTACCAGCTTTTAGATAATATTAATAAATTTATTTCAGAAGTCGATGCTTCTCCTTGAATGTATTATTCAGTAGTGTGGTTCCATCCTAAGTATCAACTTTGATAAGGTTAAATACACAGAATTTAGTTGTTGTTTTTTGTTAGTTTTCTTGTTTTTTTTTTTTTGTTTTTTTTTACTTGTGCCACTAAAAATCATAAATTGCATGCTACTTCTCTTACCATCTTACCAATAGTCAACCCCTAGCAGTTCTGGTTAGCATGACCTAGCACTAAATATCTCATATCACATCTGTTTCCTGATTATTTTAAATCAAGGAAAAATTTATTAAATAGAAATATAGAATGTGATGGCAGATAAGAACCATTTGGCTATCTAGTCTGCCCAATTTTCTAAATACTTTTATTAGTCCCTGGCCTCATCTTATAGCTGGGACAGCCTTCTGCCTATCCCACGCATGCTTAAACTCCTTTACTGTGTTAACCTCCCCCTGTCTTGACTTTCCTCCAAGCTATACATGTTAAGATCCTTTAACCTTTCCTTGTAAATTTTATCCTGCAATCCATGAACCAGTTTAGTAGCCCTTCTCTGAACTCTCTCTAAAGTATCAATATCCTTCTGAAGATACAGTCTCCAGTACTGCGTACAATACTCCAAGTGAGGTCTCACCAGTGTTCTGTACAATGGCATGATCACTTCCCTCTTTCTACTGCTAATACCTCTCCCTAGACAACCAAGCATTCTGCTAGCATTTCCGGCTGGTCTATTACATTGTCTGCCTACCTTTAAATCATGAGAAGTAGTGCAAAATAGTGTTCTTAAAAACAATGGTGAACATAAACTAACCATTGTATTTTTAAAAATGCTATCCTGCCTTACTCAGTCTTGCGTAGAACACACATAAGACATTCTTGCTGTTTTTTCTGTCTTGCATGAGTTTTCAGCCATAGTATAATGGCGATAGCAAGCCCAAAAGTGATGCCAGGGTATGAAATGAGGAACATTATTTCACAAATATTCTGTGAACTTTTCTGTCAGATGTTCAGATTGGCTAAATATAATGGCAAATATAGTTTTTGAACATTTGCAGGACACAAAGACTATTAATGTTCCACTGGGACAATTTCTCCTACTTTGATACATTTTAATTCATACATTCTGAGATACAAAATTTACATTTTGAATACATTTTATGCAATTTAACAGACAGTTACACTGTTTTCTACAGAGCTATTCTTTAGAAATTAATTATGTTTACCATTACAAATTTAAAGATGTAATGTTGGCTTGAATGTAGAGCATGCATTCACAAACGTCATATATTTCAAGTGAGGTTTCGTATTGTAAGAAATATATATGCAAAAGCAATAAAGCTAGTCTATAAGGCAGCATCTGCCCTATGAAGGCTTATCTCTGCTAAATAATAACGGAGAAATATAAAATGATCAAAAACCGACACCTAAGCAGGATGACTGCTTGGTGTGCTAAGTCAGAAAAGGGATCTGTAGAATAAAACCATGATTAATAGTGCAAAAAATAAACTCTGCAATTCTCTGTTTTTATAATACATACTGGGGTAGTGTAAGGAGACGTAGGCAGTCTATAATTTCGATTAAATACTGAAAAACATGTTGTTGTGCTCTTCAAACTTTAATCTTAAACTGTGACATTACTGTCTGACACATGTAAATGGCTTTCTGTTTGATACAGTGCATCTGCTTTTCTAGTTAGCAGTGTTAATAGTCTGTTTCCTTTTGAATTCCATTCCCTAGATGCACATGTGTGACAAGACCTAACATTTTCAAAAGTATTTTCCTATCCCTTCCTTCAAGAAATCAAGTCATTCAGTAAATAACATTTTTATTTTGTCTTGATTTTACTAGGTTAATGCTTTGGATAACTTAGGCCAGACATGTCTCCATCGGGCAGCACATTGCGGCCATTTACAGACATGCCGGCTCCTGCTGAATTCTGGCTGCGACCCAGCAATAGTGTCACTTCAGGGTTTTACTGCTCTTCAGATGGGGAATGAGAGTGTGCAACAACTACTTCAGGGTACAGCATTTTATTTCTCACACTTAACCCATTATAAAACCAGTGATATTGCTATGTAGCCAAAGTATAAAATGTGTCGGTCCATTTCATTGATGCCATTTTTTTCTTCTTGACAGAGGGCACACCATTCAGTAACACAGATGCTGATCGCCAGCTGTTGGAAGCTGCAAAAGCTGGAGACCTAGATACAGTCGTGGTAGGTAGTTTTCAAGCACAGTAATAAGACTGCATGTGGATCAGTTTATTTTACATCAATTATTGCTTCTAGCGTAAACCCTCTTAGAGTTGATAATGCATTTGCACAACCCATTGTTTCATATCTGGATAATACAATCTATGCCTGTATACGTATATTATCACAGAACAATGAAAATACTCACACAAATCTCCATGACAACTTTTTATCTATGAAAATATAACGTTGGAGAAATTAAGGTTGTGAGATTAAAGATTATTAAACTGGGCAGTCAAGATTCTAAAGTGGCATGTTTAATCATCACTGCTTTTATATGCCACCTATAATGATCACAGTTAGTATTTCCAAAAAAAATGGGCTTACACAGCAAATCATAGGCTGGACTGTATTCCTCTTGTGGATTAGTGTTTACTAAAATAAAGTGTGTGTTTTAAAAAAAAAAAAAATTCTGGTATCTTTAACAGAAATTGTGCACTCCACAAACTGTTAACTGTCGAGATATAGAGGGTCGCCATTCTACACCTCTGCACTTTGCTGCTGGCTACAATAGGGTGGCTGTAGTGGAATATCTGCTACAGCAAGGAGCTGATGTTCATGCAAAGGATAAAGGGTAAGCATTTTCTTCCATTTTACACTCCAGGCAGGAGCCCAATTTTTTTGGGAAAGTTATTTGTTTTGTAGCTTTCTGCCTTAATATTCAGTTCTTAAACCCGCCTCTTTTTCACTATCTACTTATTTCTAAAACTCTTCATTTATTAGTGGCTGCCCTTATGTGACATCACAGCACAGACTTAGAACATAATCATGTTTTAAAATAAAACAAACGCCATTTAAAGGCTTATTGCTGTAAATTATTTTCACAGAGAAGAATTTGGGGGCACTTGATCTCCTTGCGCCCCTCCCCCAACCCCCCAATACTGCAGAAGTATTTTATCTGACAAAAGTCATCATTACTATTGACATCACCAGTGGCAGTGTTTGGCTGCACTAATTTTCAAGCAGAAATGGAGATGAAGTTTGGCTTTGTTCATTGTACACACAATACTACAAACTCTGCCACTTATGTTCAGTAATAGACTTTAAAGAGTGGAAACGCACGTTTTGCTTTTATTTCAGTGGCTTGGTTCCTTTGCACAACGCTTGCTCGTATGGTCACTATGAAGTCACAGAATTGCTGGTAAAACATGGAGCCGTTATCAACGTAGCAGATTTATGGAAATTCACACCTTTACACGAGGCAGCAGCAAAAGGGAAATATGAGATATGCAAGCTTCTCTTGCAGGTAAGGTTGTCATGCCATTTTAGACTATAGACATTGCGATTATCTCAATACAAATAGAATCAATAAATTAAACATTCATAATTCGTAATACTACCAAGCCAGTGTTAATTTTGGCAACAAATTTCAATTTCGTTTTAGTCAGTCATTTGACTAAAAAGCCGTTTTAGTCTAGTTTTATACAAAAAAAAAAGTAGTAGTAGTAGTAGTAGTTGACTAAAATCTGATTTAAATTATTAGTCGACAAAATGAACACTATACCAAGCCACATGAAATTGTAACATTTATGCTAAAACTATGTTTACATGTTTTTACACAATTGTATGACAGTTGCATATTTTACTCAAGAATTTTAATTGACAGACAATTAAGTTAATAGTAAATAGTGTGGCATGAACTCAAAGTAAATACCTAACTTTGGTGCTGATGCCAGGTGAGGTCCCTCTTCACCTGGATCCAAAGTAATAAACAAAAAATGTCCTCTGCAATCCGCAATAAATGCAGGTATGCAATGTTAAATTGATGTGATTGGTTGGTTGTTTTTGATTTTTACCTGAGATTCTCCCTTATATATTGCTGTGTTTATGTCTTGAGAAAGACACATATGTGCCAAAATGTTGCCCTTTCACTTTGACAAACAACCTGATTTGTTTAATACTGAGGACCTTTATTTTTTTCTTTGTTTAAGATTGTGTCTTAGGATACACTTTTTGTAGAGAGTAATAAATTAACTGTAGGTTTATATAGAAATATGGAAGGTCTGTAATTTTTTTGTTAAGAAGTTGCAGATTCTTAGTATTTGATTAATAGCTAGATAACAGATCAACAAAATACTCATTTAATTATAAACATATAAGCATCTGACTAATTCATGGACCATTTGTTGATGGTCACCACAGTTTCCCAGTAATTTCTGAGTTGTACACTGTCATCAATAGCATGGAGCAGATTCAACAAAGAAAAACCGTGACGGAAATACCCCTTTGGACTTGGTAAAGGATGGAGACACTGATATCCAAGACCTTCTCCGTGGAGATGCTTCTTTGCTTGATGCTGCTAAAAAGGGCTGTCTAGCTCGCGTAAAGAAACTGTGTACCACAGAAAATGTAAATTGTAGAGATACACAAGGCAGACATTCTGCACCATTGCATTTAGCAGGTTAGTTTTTATTACACGATTTCTGACCAAAATGTTGATGGCCTGGCCAAGTATTAATTGATACCCTCTGATGTGGGACTATACTAAAACTGAATTTTTCAATTTGTAATCTATGTCTACAAAACCTGCACTGTCCAGATGACTTTTGGAATAGCATAGTTGTTTTAAGACTGGCCCAGACTTTACATTTTTATTGCTATTTACTTAAGTTTTGTAAGGAGACTCTCTCTAGTGATCAGATGAAAGCACATCATGTCATAACCAGACAATGCATTATATGGTCTCATTGTATGACAGACTATAATGTAAAAACTTTTCAGATTAAAGAAATTGAGAAGGAAATAAATAGAAATTGTTTTGTTTAATAGTACAACCCATAGCCTTAAGCAGAATGTGAAATCTCTCTGTAAAGTATCACTTAAGGCATCCTGCTTTTAAACTAAAGTGCCTCTCTCACAAAACCAAATGTGTTCATAGAATATTAAAAAAACAAGGGGTCCATTTGTATTCTTAAACTGGAACCAGAGGCATTTCAGTCAAATTTTTACATGTTCATATATGTTCTTAAAGTTACAATTCTTAAATGTCTGTCTTGAGCTTACCATTTAAAAGAAAGGTGTTTATGTAATTTCTTTATAGCTGGCTACAATAATTTGGAAGTTTCAGAATATCTCTTACAAAATGGGGCAGATGTAAATGCGCAAGATAAAGGGGGCCTCATTCCGTTACACAATGCAGCATCGTATGGAGTAAGTGCCTTGTTTTATTTTTCGTATTTCTTGTTAGAACCGTATTCCTACCTTTGCTACAATTAACAGAGGTACTACTTGTTAGAAAATAGTTTGGTAGATTGTTTGCTTAGCAGAGAGTAATTGCTGTAATCAATATTAAGAGAGTGGTTTATGTTAGATATTGTCAGGATTCCTATGGTATTATTGTCCTGCCTGCTTGGTTCTCTGTCCTGCAGTCTCAGACACACAACGCTGCCACCTCAGCTAATTTTATGGTGTGAGTTGTTCGAAGACGATTATGTAATCGACAGTGTGCAGGTTTTGTCGTCAATCACATGGAATTGACCAATTACAGAATACTCCAGCCTATATAAACCATAACTCTTGATTTTATCCTTGGCTTGTCATGGTTTGCATTCTTGTTATCCAAGAAAGTGCGTTTTTGTTTTTATTATTCTCTGATTGCTGAGTTGTTTTTTTTTCTTGTTTTGTCTCGGCTATTATGTTTTCTGTATCCCCAACTTTGGCTTAGGACTTTTCTTAATCCTATTTCTTGTATTCTGCATGTAAAGCCCAGCCACTCTTTGGTCTGGTTAATATGTACTTTTTGTCTACTGTTCTTCTTGTCTTATGTGGCTTAATTCCTCTGTGTTGGGTTATACCAATCCTGACACATGTATCCACTATATTTCTTTAAGCTCAAGTGTAATATACAGTACTGTTAATATGTTTGGGTGAGGAATATGCATACATGGCTCAGTTTCCACCCACCACTAGCCATTGGGGATTTGGTTTTGTTAAAGGACCACTATAATGCCAGGAAAACAAACTCATTTTCCTGGCACTACAGGGTCTTTAGATCCCCCCCACCCTCAGGGTCCCACTCCCGCTGGGCTGAAGGGGGAGGAAGGGGTTAATCACTAACCTTTCTCCAGCACCGAGCTTCCTCGGCGCTGGGGAAATCTCCTCCCTCTTCCGACATCAGGGCTGAATGCGCATGCACGGCAAGAGCCGCATGCGCTTTTAATAAGTCCATATTTCACAATGCTTTCCTATTGATGTCAGCGTCTTCTCACTGTGATTTTCACATTGAGAAGCACCTCTAGCGGCTGTCAATGAGACAGCCACTAAAGGCTGGATTAACCCTAATGTAAACGTAGCAGTTTCTCTGAATAGGTGGCACCCAGACCACTTCATTGAGCTGAAGTGGTCTGGGTGCCTATAGTGGTCCTTTAAGTAATCACACAAAACTTACCTCAACCTGCCATTTTTGGAGAAAATTCTTGGCTCTTTTGTGCTACACGCTTTTGAGGTTTATTAAAATAACCAGCAAGTTTATAATTTATTTTTGCAGCATGTGGATGTGGCAGCTTTGCTCATTAAATTCAATGCATGTGTGAATGCCATTGATAAATGGGCTTTTACACCCCTGCATGAAGCAGCTCAGAAAGGAAGAACACAGCTTTGCGCTTTGTTATTGGCCCATGGAGCAGATCCTACACTGAAAAATCAAGAGGGGCAGACTGCATTAGATTTGGTTACAGTAAGTAAATACAGTGGCTTTAATAAAAAAGAAACAAAGAAAAACATTCATCTAAACATGAGAACATTATGGTTGCATCTAGACAGCATCCATTTGGAAACCATCAAATGCCAAATCAGGGCAGACACAATAACAAGACATTTGCTAAAGATTGATTCTGGAATTAAAAATGTATCTCCAAACTAAATGTTTAATTTAGTGTATGACCAGTTATAGATTAAAGGTTGCAGCGTTCCAGTTGTTCTGTCCTATTACCCTCAGCCAGACTCGTATTGCAGAGTTACTGAATTGCTTCTCAACCGTGTAATGCTGTAATACAAGTGCTCTAACCCATTCTGACGTTCGAATGGAGATATGCCCTGTCAATGAGACACTGCTTTTTTGTTCTGTGCCTGCGATTGTGTCCAATCTTGTAGGGATCCCTTTGAGTCATGAAGCTTTCCTCCCTGGGTGTGTGTTGTGTTTTGTTTTTTGTTTATTTTTTATTATGCTATTTAAGCACTTTGATTTTGTTCCTACAGATTGTCGATTTTGTTTTAGTGCAAGACAAAATAAAAAAGTTTTTTTTTTTTTTAAATTGAGCACTAGGTTAATACAGTTATTTTGTGCGAGTAAATGTATCTAAATTACACAAAATATACTTTTGTGCATAAAACCAAGATGTTTTGTTTTGTTTTTTGTAAAATGTGTGAATCCTTTTCTTTTGTCTTTTTATCAGGCTGATGATGTTCGTGCCCTATTAATTGCTGCCATGCCCCCTACTGCCCTACCAGCATTGTATAAACAACAAGTTATCAGTTTGTCACAGCCCACTGCCACAGCCACAACAGTCCTATCGTCTGTGCCCTCCAGTCCTCCTAGTTTATCTGCTGCTAGTAGTATGGATAACTTGGTAGGTAGCTTTTCAGAAACCTCATCTGTTAGCAGTGGAGGAGCTGAAGGAGCTGTTGGTTTCGAGAAAAGGGAAGAAGGTAATTACTGTATTTAACTGGTGCATTTTAATTTTGTATTATAACTGGTGTCATACAGGCACCCAAATCATATTTTATATAACTTAGAGGATGTATATTAAGAGCTGCTAAACTTTAAAAGAATAATCAAAGCTGGAAGTGCACTCAGCTCCTCACTAGGGAATCCAGGGTGCTCTTGAAAAAGTCCCAGTACCCAGAAGGACCAACATGGATAAATTTGTAGAAAATGATCAAGGCACTCCAATAGTTTCCAATTCTTAAGGCAATTTATTTGGACCAGGAACTACAAAGCAACGTTTCAGCCCCAACAGGGCTTTTTTCAAACTTTAAAAGTGCAAATAAATTGCCTTAAGAATTGGAAACTATTGGAGTGCCTTGATCATTTTCTACAAACTTTAAAAGAATGACCACTTGTTTTATCAAAGGAAGCATGTCTATAAACCATTTACACCAAAATGGTGGTAATGCATCTAATCATCTGCATTTCAGGCTAACATAAAATTATTACACTTGTGAACTTTGTTGAAGAATTATATTTCTGAAAAGAACAATTCAGAGGTATGGGGTTTTTGGAGGGAGTCCTGCTTGTGAGAATCACATGTGAGGGTGTAAATGCACCCTAACAAACATTATAAGCATTCTATTTGTTTATTATATTGCTCTCTAAGAATGCATTTGAGTGACAGTATTTTTGAATTTCGCACATTACATAATGTCTTACTAACTGTGTGTGTGTGCGTGTGTGTTATGTTAAACAAAAATCTGCACACCAGTCAAGCCATAAGATAAGACTTGCTTTTCCCACAGAAATCACAAATTTGCAGTCATGTTATCTGTGTGTGTGTAAATATCTCTCAGATTTAATCTCGTGAAAACTTGAATAATTGCTTAAAATTATCTCTGTGGAAGTTAATGTAGCTTCACCTTCCCAAGCTGACTCAGATTACCAAAATGAAATTACAGAATATTTTTTTATATGTATGTATTTGCTTAGTTTCAGGTGTTGACTTAAGCATAAGTCAGTTTTTGCGGAATCTTGGTCTCGAGCATCTTATTGACATCTTTGACAGAGAGCAGGTAAATAGATCTCCAGTTAGTGACAATAATGCATACTGCTAAAACTGTGTGTTCAGATAATTTACCAACAGCATTATAATGTTTACTTGTGTATCTTGTTTTATCCTATTGTAGATCACGCTAGATGTCTTAATTGAAATGGGCCATAAAGAATTTAAGGAAATTGGAATTAATGCATATGGGCACAGACATAAAATAATTAAAGGTGTAGAGAGGCTAATATCTGGACAACAAGGTAAGAAATATTATTCAGTGCTATTTAACAGTCTTATCACTCAAATACTGTAAGACTTTCACTATCAAGGCACTTTTAAAGTTCTGTGCAAACTACTCTTTGGAGAATGAGCACGATTTATGTCACGAAAAGCCCTGTCCCTACTCTAATGCTTTTGTATCGAATGAATTAGGATAATATGCTGGCAATCTAATATGTCAGTAGTCTGGTTTCTGTGGTGAACCTCTAAAAGATGCCAGTGCTTCTCTTCCCTCCTGATGTACCACTTAAAGTCAGGCTCAAAAAAAATTCCACTAGCCATTTGCAGGTAGAGATTTAGCCCTAGCAATTAGTAAGTGTGTGAATTAGAACCTTCAGGCTGGCAGTGGTGAGTAACTTGTCAAAGCATTGCTAGTGGCACAGGATTTGGCATTGTAAGCCTGGTAAAAGTGTAATACAAGGATTCCATTTTTACCTGCTAATTGAAAAAGCAGATTTATAGATTAGTAGATAGTTCTGTTCCAGCTCCCACTGCAAGTTGGACATATAGAAGTGCCATGTACCTCACCCAAAATCCTTTGCGTAGTCTCCTTGAACTCCTCTGCCATTTGGGGCAAAAAAAAACAAAAGATGGCTGGTGAGATAAAACTTACATGGCCAGTCTGTGGTTGCACTGGGACCAGTTTCAAGAATTGGATGTGTTCCTTTCCACAACTTCTTAACAGTATCATGTCTGAACACCTTGTTCAATCTCATGCCTATATAGATGTAGATATATATGTAGATAGATATAGACAGACAGATATATATATATATATATATATATGAATGATCATTGATAGCACAGCAGGAGTGCTCACACCTGTCATTCATATTCACACACTAACACTCCACACAAATATGCTCCTTCGTACACATTGCTATTCAGCCATCAAACTAGCCACATACTCCGAACTGATTACATTCCCATTCCACCCTATCAGATAGTCCCATCTTACCTCCAAGTCATCCCCATTCATTTTGCATATTACCGTTAGTTAATTTAGAAATAACATTGCAAATCTTTAGAGAGCACACACAATCTGTAATCTGTACATAATGTGTATATATGTCTATATTCCTCTCTGCATTAGCAGAGAGAGATATAAAATATGTGGCATTCACAATGGTTCTTCCATACTGCGTACCTAGATCCATGACAGAAAATGTGTTCGTCTTCTGTTCATCTGTTGTGGTCGTGACTTAAATATGAATATTAATCTCTTAATACATAATAATTAAGCAATACAAACAACATTAATATTTTTATAGTTCATGGTATTATGGTCGAATATGTGGATAGAAAATACACAAAACGTAATATTAAATGTATATTTTATATAACTATAATAAACAGATGCTAGCAGAATGTCAATTTACTACAATAATTATACAATACAAAACTACAACATATTACTTACAAAAGGTTGCTAAATGTTACACAAAAGGCTATTACAATTGCTAAATGTTACAATGGATTCATTTTACTTACAAGGCCCCAGCCCTTTGGCTGGGGTTAAGTCAGAGCTGGTACAACATCTTAGGTTCAGTCAGTTACAGGCAAAGAGACAGAGTTTCTCCTACATCTGGTTTTTATTCAGTGTAAGTAGGCTGGCCTGTGATGTCACTGCCAGAAGCACATGTCTTCCTACACACTGCCCCTAGTGGTACCCCCAAAGCATTACACTAAATATGCTTTCTTTATGATGTAAAGTCTTTAATTAATAAATACCATTACATCATCTTACCGTAGTGAATGAGAAATCAACTTTAATGCACATGGTAACCACAGTTTAAATTTGTGTTAGTTAGGAAATCAAAACTGTATATTGCTCAAAATGTAGGTAGAACAATGGATAACTAAATTGTATTAAGCAGCTATTCTCAAATGTTTCATAATTTGTCACCATTGCATCTGTATGTTTTTGACTTTGGATCTCCGTGGTTTAGGTTTAAATCCTTACCTGACTTTAAATGCATCAACTAGTGGAACAATACTGATTGATCTTGCACCGGATGACAAAGAATTTCTTTCTGTGGAAGAAGAGGTAAAACAAAAACAAAATTTACAAAATTGGATGTAAACCATTTTAAACCATTTACCTTCGCACCTAAAGCAAACTTGTCCCCTTATTTTCAATGCATTTTAGATATTTAAGTTGCATACTTTTCCCTTTTATTTGTGCACTAAAATTGATAGCAAATTTGTAATAATAATTTTATTTTCATTAACAATTCGTTACTTTGAAGTGGCTATGGTGGATGGAGTGCCCACTTGCCATCATTTGGTTCACTGTTTAACCATTCACTGATGGTTTAATGGTAAACATGAGTCCCCGGTTACCTGTGCTGCTCCTCAATGCTTCTACTGCTCATGCAACACACTCTGCTTATCACATCACATCGCCGCTTTGGCAAGGAAACGTTTCCCAAGGCTGAAACAGCAGGGTGCTTCTGGACTTTAGTTCATTGATAAAGAGACAGTCTGGGCACCACAACTTCATAGTAATTAAATTGTTATGGTGCGAGAAGGTCCTGTGCATAGTCTTGCCATAAGATATTAAACCATTAATGAATTATTTAACCACAATATTTGGAAAATGGCATCTGTTTGCTCTGCCCATCTACTTTCTTACTTGACCTTAGACCTGGTGGCACTGAGAGTGTCAGTTGACACTCTTCGCCTATCACTAGCTTCCCATTCATAAAACCGAGTGAAAAGGGTATATATCTTTTTCACAAACTTTTCTGAATGGGGAGCTAGAGGTCTCAGCCGCACCTGAAAAGAAGTAGATTGGGTGCCGCCTTTTAAGTTTGGCGTTAACACTTTAACCCCTTAATGTAAGATGGCTCCTGGTACCTCACAGCACCACAATAATGACCTCATTGTAATAAAATTATGATGGAGTGTGGTTTATTTTTTATTTTATTTTTTTGCGTATGTGAACGATCAAAGGGGGGTAGCTTGTTATAATGCTCAACGTTCCTTTAAGAGTTAATCCATGTAGCCTCTAGCCAATTTCATATTTGAAATATGACAAAGCTCAGTGAAGGCTCTCCAATGTATTTAGGTATTCTATGCTTTTTTTATTAAATTTTTTTTATATTTTGATTTTTATTGCTTAGATGCAGAGCACTTTAAGGGAACACAGAGATGGTGGGCATGCAGGTGGTGTCTTCAACAGATACAACATATTAAAGGTACAGTTAATCAGTACAAAGCAATTTTAGCAAACCACATGCATTGTTTGTACAGAACTCATTTGCAGTCACAGCAGGAAATAAATCTATACACTTTTTTTTTTTTTTTTTCTCCTTGCCAATGTATAGATTCAGAAAGTGTGCAATAAAAAGCTTTGGGAAAGATACACTCACCGGAGGAAAGAGGTTACAGAGGAAAATCATAATCATTCCAACGAACGAATGCTGTTTAATGGTAGGCAACTGATAATGGCTTTTTTGATGCTTTGCTTATCAAGGATGTTTATAATACTTGCATGGTAACATATTCAAATGGTACAAGTAGATTATTGTACTCTCACTTCACAATTGTTAGAGACTTGTATAATTGATTTATAGAGCCGTGCATCTTCTCTCAAATCTAGCGCTTTTTCTGTATGTCATGTATAAGCCATTAGATTTTTCCTTCATTTTTTTTTTCTTAAATTTTTTGTTGTTCACAGGTTCTCCATTTGTTAATGCAATTATTCACAAAGGGTTTGACGAAAGACACGCATATATTGGTGGCATGTTTGGAGCTGGTATATATTTTGCTGAAAATTCTTCTAAAAGTAACCAATATGTTTATGGAATTGGCGGGGGGACTGGATGCCCAATTCACAAAGACCGATCGTGCTATGTTTGTCACAGGTATTTATAACCACACTGTACAGTCTTGTATTTTACTTGTTATTAATGAACAAATGACAAATCATTCCTGTCGTTTGCAACTGGACCTTTGTCTTAAAGGACAACTGTCATAAAATTTTCACTCCCCCCTCAAGGTTTTACATTTAATGAAACTTAATGATGTCTTAAAGACATTAGTAGTTTTAGACACAACTTGGATGCCTAGCGGGATAAAGAAGTGAAATGTTTAAGGAATATCAATATACATCATTTTAAAAATAAAAAATTAAATTTCATTAAAGGGTTACTCCAAGCACCATGACCACTTCAGTAATTTGAAGTGATCATGGTTCCTGGAGTGCGTATGTGCAGCATTTCACTATGAAACGCTTCACATTCAGAGTCTAACCCCTCTGCTGACAAAGGTAATTCCACCTCTGGCATTGTCATTAGTCAGACCATAGCAAGATGTCCTTTTTAAAGTGGCAATGGGTTGATGTGATAGGCAGAGTGTGTCACATGAACAGTAGAAGCAGTGAGGAGCAGCCAGGGACCCAAGTTTACCGTTAAACCATCAGTGGTTAAATAGTGAGCCGAATGATGGCAACAGTAGCGCCCCATCCATCATAGAGGTGACTTGGTAATGAAAATAAATAAAATTGTTACACATTTTCCATCCATTTGAATGCTAAAATGATTAGGAAAATTATTCACAAAGCACCCCCTTATTTTCAATTAATTTTAGATATTTCAGTTGCTTCAGAGACCAACACTTCCCAACCATGTAACAGAAGAAATTTTCTCATCTGCCATATTTGTCATTTTATATAATTTTATAGTGGCACTGTCACCGTCTGGAGACTTAACATAATTTGCAAAGACTCCCAACTGTGACATCGCTGCTGTCTGAACCTGCCACCTCGCAGGTGCCGCCATCTTTTTCCGGTCTGCCCTCTTCTGCTCGTCAGGAGTCAACCCCACTGCTGTACTCTCGCGCATGCACAAGAGTACAGCATTGAGGTCTGTGACGGTTAGCCAATTAACTGCAGAAATTACCTGTCGCAAGTGTCGGCTGGGAGAGTGACACTTCTAGGTGTCGGTAGCTCCGCTCATTGTCTAAAAGTGTCAGGCGTTGGAAAAATACTATATAAGTAGTTCATACTTTGTCTCCGTTTATCTTTTGGTGGGGTTAGATTTTCTGTGAAATTCCAACATGGTCAATATGAGTATTTTATCTTTATGAAATTCTCATTATACAGGGAGGTGACCGTGCCATTTTATTATAATTTTTTTTTTTATTTCAACTTTTTATGCACAATTTTAATGATGTTGATTCAATAGAAGGCAAATACATTTTTTTTTATTTGATTGCAAATTATAACGCAAAAAGGGGGAAAACAAATCCTTCCTGACTCCATAATGGTGTCAAATCTCTCCTTGGCTCAACATCCTGTTTGAATATATATTATATTCTTGCATTATTAAGTGTTCTTGCATAGCAAGACCACTTAATGTTATCTCACATATATATTATTATTATTATTATTATTATTAAGTGTTCTTGCATAGCAAGACCACTTAATGTTATCTCTCATATATTATTATTCTTATTATAGCCAAATTTACCACCCTAACTCCCCCCCCAGTTTTTACACTACACAGACAGTAATATACTGAAACGTATGGATTGTTCCCGATCAGATTGCTATTACTTTGTGGAACGTTTCGCCAAATGGTTCACAGAACATCGTCGTTCTTGTGGCGAAATTGGTCCCATAGGAATGAATGGCAAAATGTTCAAAACTAGAGTGGGAGCTGGCAAAAGCTGAAAAATCAGGACATGATTTCTAAACTGCCACCACTCCCTCATTTTCAAGCCCACCTACACCAATCTTATATCAAAACGTTCAGCTATCCTTGCTGCCACTAAAAATGTCCACGGCTAAGCCATAGTCCTGATAGTTTTCACAATTTGACCATTTGTTTGCAACTCACGCCGTCCATTGACATTCATTGAAACTTCACTCTAGCCAGCTCAAACTTGAAAGGCAATTTCTAAACTGCGACTGTGCCTTCACTTTTAATATTTTAGAGACATATGTATCACAATGTAGGTCTGGGTCTTATGATTCTCACAATATAAAGCTCTTCGCTGTAGGATGTACAGTTTTTAAAATACGACCGTTTGAAAATGGCAACAGCCAAAGTACTCTGACCTGTGCCAGGCTGCAGCAGCAAGTGATGTCATAGACAGGGCCTTTTGAACACCTGCTAATGTTTTTATAAATGTATGTTTTAATGTAACTGTGAAGCACTTTGGGCAACAACGTTGCAATTAAATGTGCTATATAAATAAATAAAAATTGAAATGCATTTCTCACTCTATCAAGCTTGCCATGTGCACTTTTTAAATGTGATCAATCAATTGGTTAGTGTAATGTTTACTATCTTTACTCACTCCACACAGTTACTCTGCCCACTCCCTAAAGTTACTTTGCCCAGTCCAACTTTTCCACAGTTACTCCAACCACACAAGTTACTCAAGCCACTCCACCCAGTTACTCCGCCCACCCCAGTTGTAGACTACTGGTGGAGGCAAGAACACTTCACACAATTTCCCCATAAATTGTAGCTTTTCTAGTTATTTTTTTTTATTTTTTTTCGTACAAAAAAATAGAAACCAAAACACCATTGATTACTACATAACATGTAATTTTATGTTTATTGTTTTTTTATAAATATATATAATTTTTTTTTCTTCTTATGTTTCTAATAGGCAACTGCTGTTTTGTCGTGTGACGCTGGGTAAATCTTTTTTGCAGTTTAGTGCAATGAAGATGGCACATTCACCTCCTGGACACCACTCGGTCACTGGTCGACCCAGTGTAAATGGACTTGCCTTAGCAGAATATGTGATATATAGAGGAGAACAGGTATGATAATAACAAATATTTATTTACTCTGTAGTATATAGAAATTTGAGATTTTGGTTAAAAATAACTTTTTATGTAAAACAAATCTATTTTTGACACATTGTGTTAATTTGTTCTCTTTGAGAAAGGCATTGATTGTTCTTCAGTGAAGCAGCTTTCACTGCTAGGTGGCGGTTTTGTTAAAGGCAGAGCCTACTTGTGCGCTGTCTCTTCCCTGGTACACATGCACTAAGCTTTGTATATCTTTCCCACCAGTTGTGTTTTAAGCCCCACATCTGCATACCATATATCTAATTTTATCAGTGACAGATTTGAATCCATGGCAGCTATTTTGCTTGAATAATCATCAAAGGGTCTGCATTTATATATTTTATTCTCTGCAGTGGCATAATATTCATATTAAGTTTATTCTCCAATGTTTTTGTACTACTGCACATGTTTGAGAGTACAGTAATGAGTAGGCTCTTGTCAAATGAAGCTGCCATAATCTAAATACAGAAGAAGGGAAGTGAAAAAAAAAAAATCAATATCAGTCGATCCCTAATCCTCACGCTTTGCATGAGCATATCTAGCCTAAAGTAAAACCCCACAGGAAAGTTTGCACTTAGGTCCTCCCCATCAACTGACATCAGCGATTGAGGAGTTCGACCCAGCGCCAAGGGAGACTTTACTGTTAGCAAAACATCTCTCATAATGTCTCACTTTTTAAATGCATAATTACCTCACTTTCAAACAAACTCGTTTTCCTGCCATTATATAGTCCTTGAGTCTCCCCCACCCTCAAGGTCTACCTTCAGCCACTTACCTTTATCCAGTGCCGGATATAGTGGTCCTTTAACAGTTAACCCTGTGCTCTTCAAACTTAAACTGAGGTTTTTTTGGTTGTAGTGAAAGCTCTTCCCATTTAGAACATGTAATTCTGCAACCTGGTTTAACACACTACTTTCTCTGTTTAGTGATAGGATTATTTGCCTGTGAATTGATCAGGTCTGCTAATTGGCTTTTTTCAAATGTTTTTTTTTGTATGGTATATTCTTATATTGATGGGTTTCTGACAAGGGAAATGTGCATATTTTAGGTTGTAAATTTTCGAAGGTTTTGCTCAATTTAGGTTTGTTTGTTTTTTCCCTTTTGTTTGTTTGCTAGACCGTGTTTATTTATTTATTTATTTTGTGCAAAATAAAGAATATTGCCATACCACAAATCCGACAATAGAATGGCTTGCTAAAACTTGTAATTTTCTTTTCCTCCAGGCTTACCCAGAATATTTAATAACCTATCAAATAATGAAGCCAGAAGCTAGTGGAACAGGATGAACGGAAGGAAATGTTTAACTAGCTACTTATCTTTTTTTTATGTTTATTTTATTTTAGATACAGTTCTTGTGAATGCATTGTAACATCTTGACAGACTAAAGCTTTAAATAATATCCAGTATATTACCTGAACATTCACAAAATACTTTTATCTGCACTTTAACAGACGTCATTCTTACTCTGAAAATGCGTTTGTCTATATAACTCTACACCGAAATGTTTTGAGTTAACTTGAATTTGTTTTTTTTTATGCAACCATGAAAATCTAATTAAATTTAAACCAGTCTAAAAAAAAAAAAAAATTACTAAATTTGTGTATTTTAAAGCACATCATTTACACTGAACGTAGGTCCTTTGTAAAACTGTAAATAAGAGCTTTTGTATTAGCCTGCTATTTATTACATTGCTTTGTAATATAGACTTTTAGAATTCAGCCATGTAAAAATATATAATTGCAACTGTAATGCAGGCTGGTTTTGCACCAAAAATAATTCTTAATTATTGTGGCATTTATTTTTTATCTTTAATTAAGAGAATTGATCCAACCCCTGCTTTAAACCAAACTATAGAAACTGTTTTGTTTCAACCCATGCTTTTAGTTATTGTTTTGTGTGGCTTTTTTTTTTTAATCTATTTTTTTTTTCATTTCAAAAAACAAAAACAAAAAAACACCTTTTCTAAGATATGTCATGGTTCCAGTCTTTATATCATATTGTGATACAGTGACTCCAAAGTCAGCAAGTAGAAAATACTTTTTTTTTTTTTTTTTTCTGTTAGAGGTATGTAACTTGTTAGGATTGTAATGTTTGTTCTTAAAGAGGTTTTTAAATTCGGAGAGAAAAAAAAACAAAAATAAAAAGAATACACACACTAACCTTTTTTGACTTTCATGTACTTGTGTATGAAATATATGAGCAACTGAAAGAAAGATGATTAATCTGCATAAAATGTGTTTATTAAGTCCATGTATATGTTGTCTTTATTTACAAGATGATGTAAAAATTGGGACCATCACAGTTCACCTTTAAAAAGAGTACAATATTCCTAGCAAATAGTAGTAAATGTCTCTGCATAAGTTTAGTTACTGCCAACAGTGTGCTATTCCAAGACAGCTTGGTAAAAGCATGGTTTCTTGACAATTACACTGGGTCCTGAAAAGCAGTACGGTCTGAAGGTATGAGTTTTAGAGAGAGAAAAAATAGGATAATGATAGAACTCACTTTTTTTTTTTTAACCAGCCTTTAACCTGAATAAAAGCAATATTTTATTTTTACAACATATAAGTCCTTGGAGTTCTCATTATCCTATTTTTGTATATTTCTGCGGGCAAGGACCGGGCACAGTGTTTATTTGTACAGATTTGTGATTGATTATATATGTAATATTGATGCCAATTGGTTTGTGATGATTTCACAAAACCAGGGACTGTAGAGAATTGGCAAGAGAATTGCATGTTTCAGCCCAAAATCGCAGAGCTGGGAAATAGAACTTTTCCAGTTCAACTACCCTAACATAGTTTGCATCTTCCACTGATTCTCCACAATTCTTAGATTGTTGAATAATATTGTTAGCAAGTATAAAGTAACTAGTCTTTTAAAAGGCTAATAGTAAAAGAGAGATGACGCAAAGCCATACTGTTTTAGGGGACACCTTTGGCACCAAAACAACTTTAATGCTTTTGATAGGTTTTGGCCTCTTCTCTAAGCACGAAAAATAGTTTTTTTTTCTTCAGAATCCTGTTCCATAAGCCTGTCTCCTTAGCCACACCCCCTTTCTTACCAATTGTATACATGCAACTAATCTCGTGACAGTACTGAGCAAACTGTTTTAAATTTACATCCTGTCTGCAGAGTAAAAAGAACACTCTAAACAGTCAGTGAAACCCTTACTAAATGTTTCATGTTTTTTTTTATCAGTTTGACAATTTTTATTGTTTACAGTGTATATAAACTGCAAATTAAAATAAGATACAAAGGAACAATGTGGAAAAGCATCGAGTCAAGCGTTGACGGGTATTTCCCTCCAAATTGCAGTGTTACAGATATTCACCAAATACATAAAATGAGAATAAAATCAGAAAAATTGTGCTCTCTGTTTTATGTATTTGGTGAATATCTGCGACACTGCAATTTGGAGGGAAATACCCTTGAACGCTCGACACTCTGACGCTTGACCCTGACCTACCATCTACAAGGAACCAAGTTGAGCGACATATCCACAGGCGGGGATCATACCGCCCAGGCACATATATCTGGAGCTGAATATAAGCTCCAGAAAATTGTTGCATTTTTCATATTTTATCTCAACACTTATTGAATATACTACATTATATTCTGTTTTCTGTCCTCATTTTTTCCAAACCGACTCACCACCATATGAGTTTGAGGACACCCAGAAGGCGCTGCTTCCCTGTACCCTTTCCTGACTTATACCTAGTTACTGCCAGGTAGAAGAGACTCTGGTTTGGGAAGTACCAGCTGCCATACCCAGATCTAACAAGTGCTAGGAACCTCACCATCACACACATATGGTGAGGTTCCTATATATGTTCAACTCTTACTAGTGGCTTGGTATTGTTTTAACAGATTTTGGGTGGTGTGTGTATATAATGTATGTTTGAGTATAATTTGTCATGACTGTAAATTGTGTATTTGGGACAGATTTAAAATTAATATTTATATGTTAAGTCCAGTTTGTCTGTAATTCAGCTTACAAATGGAATTCATTGTAGTTCTAACCTTTCAGGAAATGGTATTCTTCATTTGTGATTTCCAGAAACGGTAGGATCTTATGTTCCACATGTTTGTTTGTCATTTTAAATATTTGAACACTGTTTTGTGTTTTTGGTTTTTTTTTGCTTTGCATGTAGTGTGTGATGTGATATTTTCCACATGTTGAGCAAGAAGTAAAGAAATGTGGAAGTGTTTGGACATTGTACTGTTTAAAAGGACTTGTTACTGTAAATTTGACTTGCTACCACACCTGCTTGCTCTGTGTATTAAATTGTGTTATCAGTAAGGATTTTGTTTTACTTTAAAACAAAAAAAATAATAATAATAATCTTCTCAAGATTTGAAGGACAACGGTCATCAAATTTCGACTTTCAGCCAAAGTTTTGTTACATTTGATATATATTTTTTTCTGAAAAAATATCACTTTCGTATCTGACTGAGCAGTCGTGTTAAGTTAGATTGTGCTGTTAACTAACCAGCTGCTGTGATTGCTCTGTGTGAACCTGGAGCCACAGACATGTTACGTTTGGTAGAATCTTACCCAGTATAGCTGCTCAGTCAAATAAAGCAGTGATATTTTGTCAATCAATATACATAATTTAAAATCATGCTTCATCAAAGGGATACTTTAAGCACTAAAAGAACTGGATCTTAATGAAGCAATTTTTTTTTAGATCCTACCCCTTCAGTCTCACTACTCGGGGATATACAACTCAGGAGTTAAATTACTATTTATTTTCTGTTTTTGCAGCCCTAGCCATATTTTCCCTGCTTAAGATTCATACAGGCTACGCAAAAATGTTTTTCAATCAGTACAGTGTGTTTACTTTAGATGTTTTTATCTCTTATTGTGCTAATCCATTTATATTGTGCTAACTTATTCCTCAGTGCTTTTCAATATTATAAAGTTGGAAATGTAACAATAAATTAGACAATTACAAAATGGTACTGGGACAGTAGGTTGAGGACCCTGCTCAAACGAGCTTACAATCTATTTCTTGCTCTGTTCATTGAAGTTTAGTCACACACAGGAGGCTCCCAAGGCCTCTGGTAGGCGATACAACATTCTAAGTTAAACAGAATGTGCAATAAAGGTAGTGTATACAGGGGAAAGGTGTGGGTCACATGCAGGGGAGATGTGACTAGGGCTGCATAAACAAAGTGTTCAAATTACTCAATGGCATGATTGCATGAGCATGATCTATACATCAAAACTACTCCAATAAGCTAAAGCTGTTTTGGTGATTATAGTATCCCTTTAAATGTAATAAACATTTTTATTTCTTTTTTAATAAAAATTTGACAGTTGTCCTTTAAATGTTTAGCAATTAATGCGGACAAAAATGGTGGTGCAACTTATTGGGAAAGTTAAACAATTCCACTACTTTTATTTATTTAAAGCAGCAGCTGTTTTTTTTTTTAAATATACTGTTAATACTAATTTGACATTTACAAAATTACTGTGAAAAACCTCTAATGATCTTGCAGTCGATAATAGCCATGATATAAGGCATGCTAGTTTTACTTCTTTACCTTCCTAGTTATAGAACAAGGTTCCATGTCTACATTAAATGGGGGTTCATAATCCCAGGATCGGAAACCAAAATAGATTATCGATGGGGTCTCCATTGACTGCAACAATCATGGCATATTTATCATGTCCCAGGTAACCAAGTACCTGCTATAAATTTACAATAACCACATGAACACAACTTGCACATCTGGAGGAATCTAATGAAAGTATATGTTGAGTTTATATGTTGTATACTATGTTAAGTGTAATACTAGGCGATAATCAGAAGAACAAGTTGTCATGTTAATACAATGTATGTGTTCCTGTATTGAGACTTCGATCCAATGAGTAGTGTGATTTTTTTTTTTTTTTTACCATATTGATCTATTATGGATTTAATGTCTATTTTTGTGTCATTATCCCAATAGCTTTTTATTTTGTCAGCATTCATTTCTATAAATATATTTTCGTGATGATAATTAAAATGGGCTGTTTTCATTTGAAAACTTAAGTTGTGCATATAAAATAACCAAGTGACACATTTTGGTATGTCCTGCTACCAGAGCAGATAAAAACAGATTCACTTTGAAAAATATAAATATAGATTTTCATTAATATTTGCTAATTATACAAATAAAAGTTCTGGAAGTAATTAATAGCCATCCACAATACACTGCTACTATATATATATTTTTTTCTTTTTCTTGCACAGTGTGTCCACCAGAGGGCACACTTTAATCACTCCTAATATTTTAAGCATTGGCTTTATTTGTAAGCGACAGATTCTCTAAAAAATTTCATAATTTATACAGTGTCTGGCTTTTGTTTAGAAAGCTCTGTATTTAAACAGTAATGCGGGCATTGGATTTTATACAGAAAAGTCATGACAGTTGTTACAGTGTCTACCTTGCCAACCAATGTCATGATCTACTTTTTCAGCCTTCTTAATCTCTCAACTTACTGTATTGCATGAAAGTAGCAAAGTTCCCTATGCAATGTACTTTCTCCATGTACACTAACAAAAGGTAGCAGAGAATGCTAGCTACCTATGTCAACACCAAATCTTTCTCCTGTGCTACTTTTCAGATGCAGCCATCTGTTGGTGGTGGGGCAATGTGAGAGCAGCATTTTATTTGTTCAAATTGAGATACTGGGAAATAACATAGTAAGTCCTAGAATTGTGTTTAAAGTGCCCAGCCTGAGTCTAGACTAAAATGTCTTCTTTCACCTGCTCCAAGATCTAATGCAGTTGTCATTTCAGTACCCTAATGTATGACTCTTTAAATGTTTCCCGGTAGAACCTAATGTTTGTCTTCAGAGGATCTGTGTAGTCTATAAGCTACATGGAGTCTGTAAGGCATATTTCTGATATGAAATGCGGAAATGAGAAGAGCAGACCACCAGTATAGTCAATTAGTTGCATATCCTGTTGCTTCCCACTATTGTAAAATTTAAATGCAAAAAGTTGCTACCTTGTTTTGAAAATAAAAGAATCCTTTTTCCTTCCTTGAGTGGGAAGAGCCTACAAGTTGTAACATATTGGATACACTTTCATTCAACTGGAGAAGATAGAAAAACCTCTCTACAAGGTTTAGGGAAGGTGGCGGTCTGTGCCCTGCTCTATCTACACGTGCTTGCACTTGCAACTTTCTTAGAGGAACAAAAAAAGTGGAGTCCGTTTATTATGTTATGACCCCTAGATTTTAGGAAGCTGGTAAGTAATTAAGTCCTGGCTAACAAACCTCTCCCATACTTAACCACCCAAGTAACCATCTTGTGAGGTTTCTGCTTGTCCTTGCATGCACTTTTCAAACTTTAATATTTTTAATTTTCATCTGATATGGTTTCTAGCAGGAAGGAAATTGTTACAAATAGTCACTGTTAACTATGTTTTGATGTTGCAACTTATCCTGCTCTGATTGGGTCCTGTATATCATGATTGGTGGTCTTACCATCCAAGGAAGGAAACTATGTTTGTCTTGCTTGACAAACTTAATACTTCGTGATGAGAACTTAATATTTGGCATCAATGTTTTTGGACAAGCTTTTTTTTTTACCAAAACAACTTTAGCTTAACACATCAGTTTTGGTGTATAACTCATGCCTCTGAAGTCTCACTGTTCAGTTCTCTGTCATTGAGGAGTTAAATCACTTTGTTTCTGTTTATGCAGCCCTAGCCACGCATCCTCTGATTGTAAAACTCACACACCCTGTATGGAGAAGAAAAAAAAAAACTTTCACTCTCAACCAGATGTAACTTTAAAAGATTTTACCTCCTGCTTGCTAAATTGAACTTTAATTACATACAGGAGGCTCTTGCAGGGTCTAGCAAGCTATTAACAGAGCAGGGAATAAGAAATTTTAAATGAAACAGAATTTGCTATAAGGGAACTGTAAACATTAGATGACACTTTACAGGAAGTGTTTAGGAAGACTGTAAGTCAAATGCTGGTAGGTGTGACTAGGGCTATATAAACAAAGTGATTTAACTCCTAAATATCAGTGAATTGAGTAGTGAGATTGCAGGGCATGATTTATACACCAAAACTGTTTAATTAAAGGACCACTCCACACCCCTAAAGCACTTCAGCTTGCTGACGGGCTTTATGGGTGAGGAGTAGCATAGTTTAATCCTAGTTTATAAAAGTGCTGATTTCTATGAGAAATCAGCACTTTTATAATTTTGCTAGGGAACTGCCCCCTGGCTGATAATCAAAAAGCCAGGGAGGATTCCTTCCTACTTCCGTTAGGTCCCCTGAGCTAACGAAAGTGACAGGCACGCTCCACTTGAGCGTGCCTGCCTCCCCACTCATCAGCTACTCAGCTCCAGATCTCAGACCAGACGTGTGCACGCGTGCACAAGCCAATACATGCACATAAAGTTGTGTGTTCGTGAGCCTGTACACATGTGGACCAATTCAGAGGCTCCTCAATGAGAAGCCTCTGGTTATTTCCCTGTGAAGAAACTCTTCTCTTTCAGGAAAAAAAGGGGAGGGCTTGCTAAGGCTGCAGTTAATAAGATCTGGAGCCATGGCAAGCTCTTTTAAGATATACCCCCAATAACTACATGCATGGAAATTCATACCTGTATGTAGCAGAGCCCTAGTCCTAGCAGGGACTCTTCTCCTCTGGATCCACCAAAGTGCAATCAGGAACAAGAGAAACACCAAAGAAATATCCCACCTCCTCCCCAGCAACTAGATGACGCAGTTCTGGAAGTATAACTGAAGTTTGTCACACACGACTTATGCCCAGTCCCATACAAGGGGTTTTTCATACAACAATTCAAGGGGTTCAATCCCAAGATCTTCTGTGCCTAAGAGATAATTGCGTGAGAAAAATCATATAATTTAATTATCTATCAGGTAAAGAAATTCAACAAAAATATACTGTACCCCAAAAGTACCCCCAACATACATTTTTAACTGCACAAAAATTACATTCCCCGATTTGAGTGTATAACATATACAAGAATCATTTAGGTTGGTTTGGTGAAACAGAAATGCAATCGAGGTAAAGTTTTGACCGGCCAGGCACGAGGCACTAGCCCAAAACAGTTTCAGGGAAAGAGGTGCTCTGGCCGGTCTCCATTCGTGAGATTCCAGTGCAAACCCCATGCAAGGGAATTTCTTCATTTCAGGATACGCCCAGTAATTCAAATCTCCTGAACATCGTTCATCTAGGTGGTCTGGAAATATGGGCAGCGGTCTATGTTTTACCGGCGTTCACGCGAGTGCCTAGCTGAAAGGAGTTCCAGGCATTCAACGACCAAGTGCCGCTGCCCATGTTCGGAAGGCAAGATGGCCGCCACTCTTGTCTGTCACGTGTTCTGTTATACGAAACGGCAGTCACCCAGGGGAAGCATTAATTTAATTACTTCCCTTGCGGTTTCGCACTTAAGTGGTCAGTGTCAACGTTCTAATGGGTTACAGGGGTGGTCCTTGTTCGGGAGATGAAAGAATTCTGTTCATGTGACGTCTCCCGAACGGAAAAAGAATGAAACAGGCGAATGCAAGGGGAAAGTATATATATATATATATATATATATATAAAAAAGTAATTGAAAGTCTCCATTCTGCTACAGTGTATTAATTGGGAGTATATCTACTAAACAGTGGTTTCTCTCCCCCGCCTTCCCCATGTGGGCAGTAGAGTGCTCCTTTAAGATAAAGTTGTTTTGGTGACTATAGTATCCCTTTGATATATCAAGCAAAAATCATTAATGTTAAAATGTTTTATATATTTTTAACATTTTATGCAAAAATATTAAATCAAGGCCTTTATTGGGTGCAGGTGCCTTGACACCTACTTCAGCTGTTGTGCTTGCTTTGTTTCTTCCTGCTTTTTGACCTTCTCTGCTTGGTTTGAGATCAAACTGAAGATTCTAGAAGAGGGGTGGGGAAAGGAAAAAAATATACTGAAGCATTTTATAATTGGTGATTCTTCCTCCTTTAGTTGGGAGGAACTTTATGCCTCAATTCATCTGCTCTAATTTTTTGTAAGAAAATTAATTTTGTGTAGCTCTGCACTGTATATAGGCAAGCTTTATATTGCAGGTAGAGCAGATTTTATTCATGGACAATGTGTGTCTCTGTAGTCCTGTAACATGATGCATTACATTTATTCAAAATGTGACTTTACACATTTCCCCCCCTTTCGTTTACATTCAAGGCTCGAAGCCCAACATTCAGAGTGTAGAAGGTAATTTAAATGTGCGTAACTTATGGCTTTGCACTGTTTCTTAGCCTTTACCCTTCTGGTGATTTAGAAGAGATTTTCTTATTTTACATGCAAGTCAGTACTGCAGAGACTACAAACAGCGCTTTGCTTCCCTGATTGCCTCAAACCTACCTTTCAAATTCTTTACCCAACAGTATTTTCTTACAAGCATTGTGTTTTATATTCTAAAATATATACATTTTGCTGCAGACATGGATTTTGTCTCAGGTTTCTAGTCTATTCTTGGTGAATAAAATTTTCTCTCTCTGTAATATTTCATATCATACATATAACTAATCTATCCTAACTATAAGATAAGGCAAGGGACTAATGAAAGTATTTAGAAAATTGGGCAGACTAGATGGGCTGAATGGTTCTTATCTGCCGTCACATTCTATGTTTCTATCTAAATTTAAGGTTTTTCTGTATAGAAGATGGGGAAAAATTAAAACTGTTGCACTTATGGAGGAGAAAAAAGTTGACTTATGTCAGCGAGAAGAGAACTACAAATCATAAGAATCCTATGGAAGAAACCATGCATGACATGTTACACTAAGTAACCGTAAATGTGGTACTAGTATTGTATAAGATTATTGCTGTTTCTCAGACATGTTTTATATGAATAGATAAAAGGAACGTGTCCTTTGGACCAAAACCATTTAAGATGAAGAGGTTCTGATTCTTAGAAAGTCCCTTTAAAAATATACAATGCGTAGCCCTTCAGTGAATACCGCACAATATATAAAAAAATAAAATCACAATCTCGAGATA